AATGCATTTAATTCATGAAAAAGGAAAGCACTTTTTAAACATAGTTTATTCGAAAAAAAAAAATACATTAATTTTCCTTAATGGCCATACAAATTATGCTAATAAATATTCCTAAATATATGTCCACATTTGCCTTTGAGAGAGAGATTAATGCAGGGGAAAAAGGGCTAATTAGCATGCGTTCTATATTTATATTTATATCCGCTGCTCCGCTGAGTGGCTCCAAACACAAGAGGACTTAAACCAAAACGGGGAAAATCACTGTCGGGGAAAATCACTGTCAGCTAATTTAAGAACATTTCACCAAGCGAGCAGGATTATTTCTCTAAGCGAAACTAACGACAGGACAGGAGAGGACAGCCAAAGCAAAAGCAAAAGCATAACCGCGTGTGTGGACTGAGAAGCGGCTTGTGGTTATTTTCATTCCACTCCACTCCATTCCATGCATGAACAAGAGTTACAGAAATACATTCTGATTTTCTACATAATTCTTTTTTTTTTTGTTTTATGTTTTATGCCACAGATCATACGGGATTATCTGCGTTTTTAAATGTTTATAAAAACATTTTAAATTGAAATTTTGGAGAGCTTATTTGGTTGGGGTCTAGGCAGAGCGCAGCTGATGCTAGCTGAGGGATTTAGTTGATTTTTATGCTGAATGTTCAATGAGCATGTACCAAGAGACACCGCCAACTAAGTCGAGGAGGGAACTGGGATGCGATATGCAAACCCAAACCCAAGCCACTGTTAAGGGAGGCGGACATGTCACCAAAGATCTTCTTATGCCCTGTACACGTAGCCACAGATGTACGTACTCGCACTCGTTCTCGCACTCGTTCTCGTACTCGTTCCCGTTGTCGTACTCGTTCTCGCACTCCTACTCGTTCCCGTAGATATCTTTGTTATTACACCGCGCGGTGTCTCCGTTTTTGTGGCTTGCATTACACTTGAGTTGATTTATTATTTATGCCTGCAATCGATATCTCTACTCACTCACAACTGCCTGCTACCCCGTTACGCCACAGTTTAAAGCGTACCGTCAGTTAATGACCCTCGCCTGGGCAACCCTACTGCCCAGTGTGTGTGTGTGTGTGTGTCTGTAGGTGGTGTGTGTGTGTGTCTGTAGTTGGTGTGTGTGGGAGTGGGAGTGGGTGTGGGTGTGGGCATGCAGGGTGAGATTAGCGAAGCGAAGTCCGCTGTCAGCAGCATTAGCATTAGCTAGCGCCATCTACTTAAAAGTTTTCGCCTGCCGGTTGTCGAATGCCGCTGGCAAGCAAAGGAATCGTATCGTTCCGATGATACCCTTTTAAAGGGGAACTACAATTCCGACCAGAAATTGCAGTGCAGCAGGAGAAGCATTTGCTGAACACTCTTTTATTTTTGTTTTTTTAACCCATAGTTAGCTGAGTTAGCTGCGAGGGCATCCAAAGTTTCGTACTCGAATTTAGCCTTAGTTTCTTTGAGTTGTTTTGGCTGTCGACCCATATTCGCTTATTACACAGTTGAGATGTTCGACACACGTGTGTGGACGTTGGCGGGGGGGTGGTAGGGAAGGCATGGAATGAAGGAAGACTGCCTGGACAGAGCAGAGGTGGGACCCATAAAGCGTCGTGTGGTCCGTAAACAAAGGCTGTGGGATGCGTTGGCTGGAGAGTGTGTTCCTCTGTGTGTGTGTGTGTGTGTGTGTGGTGTGAATTGCAAGAGAGAAAGGGAAGAGCTCTGATGACTAGGGGATACCCTCTAGTTGAATTTATTAGCAGTCATTTGAATGTAAAAAGTAAATCATTCTGAATGCAAATGGCTAGCAACAAAGTGCCATAATATTAGCTGAGTATTACTCAATAATCCCCTTGGTAATGATCGAAACTATATTTATAAATATACCAGAGCAGAGCCCCATTTATTTTACACTTAATTAGCGTAAATAGCAGGGAGAATTGCCACAAACTGGAACTGAGTGTACGCTGCATGAGTAGAGACAGAAATATAGGGATATATGTAGTATATATAATATATAATGTCTGGACGTTGATATGCAATGACTGCACCATCAAGTGGCCCATGCGACACCAAGCCGAAGCCTGTTACGCGCGGAACCCAGGCAGAAACGCAGCCCTCCTCCCGCCCAACCGACCGAGGGGCGCTGCCGCATGACGCGCGACGCGTGTTACCGAACCGACGCGAGCATGCAGGAAAGATAGGTGTTAGACTAAAATTCGAGGAAAATTAGAGCTAAACACAACTCAAAGAGCTAAGCATGCAAAGATAGCTAAAAAATATAACTAATACGGGAAGGTATGTTAGTATTAGTGATTTAAGAATATATATAATATAATATATATAATATATATAATATATATATAGTATGTACTCAGTCTCCGATTGTCTGATTTTCAGTTAAGTTAAGGAACGAACAGACAGAAAGTCTTCGCTGGCTGGTCTGCTGTTTATTCCCACAAATCTATGCAAAGATATTCATTGCTTTTGCTTTTTGTAAGAAACAATTTCTTCCATCAAGCCAATATGCCCTTTGTTGCCCTACTAATTGCTGGGTGTCAAATCCAGTGGCGTACAAATTGTTTTTGCAATGCTATAAATGTAAACAAAATTAACATATGCAAATTTTTCAAGCCCACGTGTACGAGTCTGTGTGACACGAGCCTGTGTGTGTGTGCCTTTGTGTGTTTGTGTGTTGGTAAGCTTGACGCCAACATTTGGCATTTAGACAAATAGCCAGGCTGTCCGTCCCAGAGGCGAGACTTCTTGCTGGATTATACAAGTGGAGCAGAACAAACATATATACATATATACGGGTGTGTGTGTTTGTGTGTGTGTGCTCTCCTTTTCTTGTGGAAAAACTTGAATTATGTTCAGAAAATGCAAAATACTTTTAGCCATATGTTGGCGCTGCACTTGCCGGGCAAGAGAGACAGAGAGTGGGAGAGAGGGGAGAGAGGGAGGGAGCTTAAGCAACTTGTTTGGTATCTTTATGGATACGACGACTATTAAGTACACATTATACAGTCATTGTTATTATTGTATGCCATACAGGCGAATAACACTGATAACCTTGATCGATGCGCGGCAGCAAGCGACTCCACTGTGGTGTGCCTTACATAACCGGAGAATGGAGCAGCCACAGTCGCAGGATAGGGCCATATATGCTCTCGTATAGAGTCAGACGCCAAAGAAAGCGGGGGGAGAGAGAGCGACTAAAAGCTGTTGGCTCACAAGAATAAAGAAATATTTACTTAATATTTTATGAATTAATCAAGCAGGAATAATAAACATATAATTTACATGCAAACGGATAAGAAATAAAACAAATTGAGATGAATTAGTCTGTTGGGAAGAGACAGAAAAGAGGAAAGAGAAACTAGAGGATTACACTAGTTTTTTCCTAAGGAACAAAACCAACTTTAAAAGAGGGGAGAAGGTTGATGATTTTTTTTGAGTTGAAGACGGGGGGGGGGGGGGGGGGGGTGCGTCCGGCGGGGGGGGGGGGGGGCGGGGGGGGGGGAAAAGAGAAACGAGAGTATTAGTTATACATAGTTATATGTAGTAGTAGTATATGTAGTAAGTAGTTACAGTATTATCCACAATTTGGAAAATACGAAACGCAGAATCATAAATAAAGCTCATATCTAAAAGATTGCAGATAAACGTTGCAATCGGATCATTGTTATAGCCAACAGAACCTGTCGCATGACTCTTTTAAGACCTGGCTTTTCCAGCACTTTTAATGACAAAGCAACGAGTTTTTGGGTGGTGTACTCTTGGGTTGCACTCGCATATTCCGTCCCATATAAAAGTACTTGCCACGGAATAAAACTTTTCCTGGAATCTAAAAGTAATATCACTGCCAAAAGTTTTTTTCGTTAAATGATAAGATAATGGTTGAGGCAACAACTTGTCTGGCTATCTTTTTTCAAGGAATCTACAACAGTTTTGCACGCCCCTTAAAAGGTTTATCAAAGCAATAGAACGAGTGCGAGTATTATTTAACGACAGGACAGGACTAGCCCAACCCATCTTGGGTTGAAATTTGTAATAAGTTGGCACTATTTCACTTGCATTTATTGTGTGCCTCAGTCTCCACATCAAAGTGCAACTACTGTTGATAAGAATTGTTGTCAACGAGACCTTTTGGGTCATGCAAATAGATTTATTTTAAAGGCCGTCTTTTGGTTGTGAACCCTAACACCAGATTTCGTTATCAGAAATTTTGCACTTTTTGGGAAAGCAAAAAAAAAAGTACAGAGATAATGAAACGATCGAGACACATGGGACATGAATCAGTTGGTTTGGTTTTGGTTTGGTTACCAGCCGCCGATCGTACTTTTGGCCAATTCAAAATGTTTGGGGGGGGGGGCTACCCTCTAGCCAATGGCTGTTATATGTAGAACATAACATAAATAATTTATCTGTTTTTATTACAGTTTATATTGGTAGTGGAAATAATGTAAAATATTGATAGTATTTTTTACTATTTATTACTCTAATTTACCCATACCTAAAAGTGGATTTGCTGCTTAAAAATTGCACCTTCTGTTGAATATAATTTATTTTATTTTACTCTACCTACATACGTACGTATATACATATGTACTCATACTTATATGTACATATGTAGACTCTTCTATTACGTGGGCCACAACATACTTAATCCAAAGAACATCTAAAGGGTATGCCTGAGAATATTCGAACTATATTTATCATAGCTTCTGCCACCCCAAAAAGAATGCAAGACAACTTGAATTAAAGATTGGTATTACATATATAATTCATAGGCCTTCGATGCCTCAAGCTAAATATAAAATATCTTTGGGCTCATCAATCCAAATCCAAAATCTGATTCCATATCGGATACGCGTATATTTCGACACTTAATGCTAATCTATCATTACAAATGAATGAGTGCGGGGGCGGGGAAATGGGTCGTCATATACTTACATATGAATGAAAAATTAATGGCAATCTATCATTGGTTTTATTTGCAGGCAATCAACAGCAGCATCCAATGGCTGAGGAGGAGTTCTTTGGCGATTTAGGTGTGTATAAACAGCCATCAATTTATGGCACATACTAAATAGTTCTAGCCCTAATTAATATATGTAGCATGTGGCATATAAACCCAAGACTGCTGCCCCATAACCCTGCCGAAAAGGGGGAAAGAGTGCTCGTGCTGTTGCTGGCCTAATGAATAATCTGGAGGCATAAGTCAATCGACAATGCGCTTAATTAGGCCAGGCCAGGGCACAGGCATCCCAATTGTGTAGAATTTTTAGTGGCTAATTGAACATTGTTATTGCTGTTTGCCAGCAGCTCGGTGCGGTGCGTGCGGTGCGTGTGGCAGCAGGGAAATACAATGGAAGCCAGCAAAAGAATCACATCACGATCCAAAGTGGCATAATAAGTCTGGCAAATTGCTGGCCTGGCCAACATTTTTGACGTCAGCACTCGTCAGCTGGCCATGCAAATGGCGAAGCAGCCTGTGCCCTGCCACTGACGCGACTCAACGCTTGGAAAACAATAGCTATCTAATGCCATGCCCACCCACACGCGAGCGTGTCTCTGATAGATACAAAAAATATCTGCAATACGTATACGCCGTGTTGTCCTTTTTGCAGAGGTAACCCAATAGCGTAATGGATTATAAATATACAGAAAAACAAAGTCTGTCTGCTTAACCTTCTTTCAGCAATACTTTAAGGGAAAGTTTTCCCACACGTGACTAATGCAGAGAGAGGAAACTCTGGCAGGGAGTGCGGGAACTAAACTTTTTTTTTCCTAGAATTTCCCAAGTCAGTTGGCTGCCCCCCCAACGTGTTCTAGTTCTTGCGCTAAATTGTTTCTGGCATTCTGACTTATTGATTTTTGTGTTATTTTCCACATTGCACTCCCACACCCACTGCCCCCCTATCCGCCCTACATCCTGCAGACGACATTATCAATATGGACGTGAACGGCGGCGGCGGCGCTGGAGGCGGAAGAACGACTGTGAATATGCAGCAGGTATTTCATCAGTCGACGTCCCTGCCGGTGATGCCATCGCCCATGCCGCTGGGCCAGCTGCAGACACACCAGACACACCAGACACCGCTGACACCACCCAAGACCAGGACAACAGCCAAGGCCAGCGTAAAGACGGGTCCACACCTGCGCATCATCGAGGAGCCAACGAACAACATAATCCGGTTTCGGTACAAGTGCGAGGGCCGCACGGCGGGCTCCATACCGGGCATGAGCAGCAGCGCAGAGAGGGGCAAGACCTTCCCCACCATCGAGGTGTGCGACTACAGTGGCCCCGTCACCGTTGTCGTGTCGTGCGTGACCAGCGACGAGCCGTACCGCCAGCATCCGCACTGGCTGGTCAGCAAGGAGGAGGCCGACTCGTGCAAGTCGGGCGTGTACAGCAAGCGGCTGCCGCCGGAGGAGCGGCGTCTGGTGCTGCAGAAGGTGGGCATACAGTGTGCCAAGAAGCTGGAGATGCGCGACTCGCTGCTGGAGCGCGAGCGCAAGAATGTGGATCCCTTTTTGGGTGGGTAACACTCGCTCTTAATTTTCCCCTCCCCCTACTAAAATTGCATCTCTATCCTTTCGTTATGGCAGCCAAATTCGATCACAAGGACCAAGTCGACAAGATCAATCGGTACGAGCTGCGGCTGTGCTATCAGGCATTCATCAAAGTGGGCGGCACACGCGTCGCCCTCGATCCGATTGTGTCCTCGCCGATATACGGCAAGAGCAACGAGCTGATGATCAGCCGTCTGTGCAGCTGCTCGGCGAAGGTGAGTGGCGGCGATGAGATCATTATGCTCTGCGAGAAGATATCCAAGGATGACATCGAGATACGCTTCTACGAGACGGACGACGATGGCCGGGAGCTGTGGCACGCCAACGGAGAGTTCCAGCCGACGGACGTGTTCAAGCAGATGGCCATTACGTTCAAGACGCCGCGTTACAGGAATACAGAGATTACACAGAGTGTCTATGTGAGTGCTAAGAGTGCCAAATACCAGATACCAGATGGAGACGCTGTGGGCTAATTGTATTTTCTGATTCCCAGGTGGAACTGAAGCTGGTGCGACCCTCGGATGGTGCGACGAGTGCCCCGCTGCAGTTCGAGTACTTCCCGAATCCAGGTATAGTAACCTTTGCCCGGCTGCAGCGCAAGCTGAAGCGCAAGCAGGAGATGGACGTGTTCCAGCAGATTTTGTCCCTAGATAGCGAAACGACAGCCACCAAGTACTCGTGTCCGCCGCTCGATCTCAACGAGGACGAGAACAACACCGTCTCATCGGATGATCAGCCCAGTTCGGGCACCCTCAATGACTTTGAGATTGCGGTGAAGAAGCAACTGATGCACCTGCAGCACCGTGGCGAGTCCCATGATGCCGATGGCAACACCATGACGGAGTACACGGACAACGACAACGAACCGGACATGGAGATTGAGCTGGAGGTGCCGCAGCTGTTGCCGCAGCTGGCCGATGACTGCACCCAGACGTCGACGCCCATGGAGGAGATACTGCAGCATCCGCAGCTGCAGACGCGACCGCTCAACAATGTGGACAAGATCACCGAGTGGATGAAGAGCAGCGAATTCGAGCGCACGGACAGCCTCACCGTGGAGAACGGCGACACGCCCACCATGTCCAACAGCACCGCCCAGACGGCCTTCACCAATGTCAGCAGCCTGACGGCCAATACGACCATCACGAATCAGCTGGATGGCGATGGGGATGGGGATGAGGAGGGTGCGGGCTCACGCAGGGATACACTAGAGAATCCAGCACTCAAGGAGCTGCCAGAGGCCGATGGAGGAGCAGCAGCGCAGCCGCAGGAGCAGGAGAGGAGGATGGGGAGAGGGAACCCGAACTAGCCTCGGCCAGCGCCCAGGCCTCGGTGGATCTCGATGAGAACTTTGATGAGACGGCCACGTACACGAGCCTGCAGATAGCCTTCAACAATCCCGTGGACATACCCAGGAACTCGGGCGCGGCCTCCCTCCGCCTCCAGGCAGATATACGCCGCGACCAATCCCTTCAGCCAGATGGACGAGGACGAGCTGGTGGTGCTGACGAATCCCCCCGCGCCGCGGATCAAAGTGAACGCGGCCCTGACACCGGCCACGCCGCCGTCGCCGACACTGCCGCAGCTGCCGCCGCGCACACCCTCGCCGGATCCCGATCACCGTCTGCCGCCGCTGCCACCAAAGCCACAGAGGAACTCGCAGGATCTGAGCATCGTGAGCGACGGATCGATCAATCGGTCGCGCAACGGCAGCCTCAGCTCCGCCAGGACCACGCCCTCGCCCATCATCATAATGCGCACGCCCGACCAGAGCCCCACCAAGCGGCAGCCGACATCGACGCCGAGTGCCTCGCCCAAGAAGCGGCAGGGATTCTTCTCGCGCTTCTTCTCGCGCCGCAAGAGCCGGGCCGACGAGGAGGAGGGATGCCTCACAGTGGGCGCCAGTCCCAGCAAGCAGCCGGGCGGCTCCTCCAGGGCCACCACGCCCACGCCCACGGGCAGCCGGGAGCCGAGTGTGGCGCACTTTGCGCTGGGCGATCCCAATCGCAGCTCCAGCCGCTCCATGCAGCCGCCGAGCAACTGCAGCAACAGCAGCAACAGCGCCGCTGGTCGCAATGGCCGTCCCGTGGGCCGCAGCTCGAGCAGTGTGTCGGGCAAGCGACCCGCCTACCTGGATGCCGATGTCATCCACATACCGCTGAAGGGCGGCGACAGCGAGAACAGCCTGCTGCGGCCCGAGAGCTACTCGACGGCCAGCACCCTCAGCTACGGTCGGCCGCTGGACCGCAAGACCCTCAGCACACTGCAGCTGGCCGACATACCCATCAGCGACGGCAACATGGAACTGGTGGCCATTGCCGATCGCCAGAGCATCCGCAACTTGTGCGAGGGCGCCTACGGCGTTGTGCTCGACCCCAGCGTGGATCTGTCCGAGGCGGAGCACTTTGCGCTCTACACCAGCAAGTCCCCGGAGCCGCCATTCGGCGGGGAACAGTCCGGTGCTGCGGATGGTCCTGGTGGGGCGGAGGCAACGGATTTCCTCACCGCTGATGAGATAGCGCGACGTCTGGCCGAGGCCAATGGCCTGCAGTGAAGCGGCGAGAAACGGGGAGGTGTTTCGGGCAACTGATTTGAGGTTTCTTTGGGTATTTATTGATTCCAGCTGAGAAACAGAACAGATCTTTTGACAGGTATATTCTGAAGGGGCTCAGAGTGAATCTAGAGTCACCAAAGACACACATTTGTATCCCTCCAATTTAAATAACAATATTTATATACCATACGGAAATGTTAGCCCAGGTACCAGAGGGTTACCTGACAACAGACAACATTTTTGTGAAATCTTTTGAATGCCCCTTTGGGTGCCATCAACCCCACTTGAACATAAGCCAAATCAGTTGCCCGAAAACCCCAACAACAACAAAAACTACAACTATATTTTCTAGTCGTTTTCTTTTTCAGTATTAATTAACGCTTATCCCGCCAATCCCCCCCAAATAGTTTAGAGAATTGCCTGCAACCAATGTTCAATGCTATCCGTATTTATTTGTAGAAACCCTAACCCAGCACAGTCGTCTGGAGGCGCGCAAGGCCGTTGAGAACCTTAAAAGGAATCTCATGAGCAGCGATTTCTCTGACTTCCATCAGAGTGCCAAGCAGCCCAAAACGTCCTGTAAGTGTTCTCCTTTGCATTTCTCTTTGCATTTGGTGCTGGTTTGGGATTCACCCTCTATACATCTATGTAGTTCCTATAAAACACCCCACCACACACACACACACACACACACACACACACACACACTCATTAAACGTTTACAATGTTTAGAGCTTATAGATCATATACGATATACCTACTATATAATATAAGCAAAAATACTCTCGTATAGCTGATACCTTGTGGACCAATAGGCTGGGAATTGTCGTTGGAAATTTTGTAGGATTGTCGTTGGTGTTTGTTTTGTATGGAGGGCCGACCCAGGTTGATGATATTTGTCCCACACATTCGTATGTTGTATTTCAATTTTGATGAATAAAAATGTTTGGTACAAATACAGATATTACTTAATAAATTAATTCATATTTTTATGCTTACTACAAGAGAAAAAAAAGGTGTGTAATGGTTGTTGGAGCTTCGAATAGATTGAAGACAGATTTTAGCTTCAAAAGGTTAGAGAAAAATTTAAAGATTTCTTGTATCTATTCAAAATCGATGAAACATTTTAATGTTTCTGTTTTCTAATCGGATTTCAATATTTCCTTATGCTATAAAAATATTTCTTTTATCTATTGATTTTTATTTATATCTGTTTCCATGTTAACTTCTTTCTCTACAAACTAAAAAATATTTCTTTTATCTTTGGATTTTTCTTTATATCTTTTTCCATGTTAACTTCTTTCACTGGTCACCAAAATCTGTTGTGTTTGACCTAAGCGTCTTCCCATATGAGCCATTTCTGGTCCATTTATCATAAGCAAATGCTCCATTCGATAAAGTTTCGTCCGTTAAGGGCATTAATAACATTCGAAGCCCCTTCTCTTGGTTGGTCTTTCTTTTCCCGCTGTTTTCCCCATCTAGCTTTCCCCTAGCTCTCGCTCTCTCTCTCGCTCTCTGCGAAGTGGAACACCCAACTGATGACAGACAGACAGTAAGTTGCCCGCTGCCTGCCGCCCAAGCAAATTGATGTTGTGGTTTGCCTTTGTGTCCTTTTTAAGTTTCGCCAAATTGCTTTAGTTCTGCCCTTAAGTTTTGCCTCAATTATGTAAATGCTTGTAGCCTTAAAGCCTTAGCCTTATAGCCTGTGTGCCGTGTGGCGTTCATTAACCTTTCGTTTTCATTTGTAACCTAATACCAAGCTCTGGCCCACATTGTGCTAAAAAACATTCTCAAATTTGTCCCCTACAGTGGTCCAGCCGCCGCAGATAACGATGACAACCGCCCCGGCGCCACAGATGTCACCCGGCATGGGCCAGGGCCTGATGTACGCGACTGGCAGCCCGCACTTTATGCACGAGATTAAGGTGGAGAACGCCTACATGGACGTGGACAGTCGCAGCAGTCAGTGCGCCTCGGTGGACTACAACTTTCCCTCGCCCCGATCCACCTGCAGCACAACGGACGGCATACCGCCCATGCGAATCGGCCCCAATAATAATCTCTATCAGAATTTGGATGCGATGGGTGCGACGCTGCAGGAGCCGGCGAGCTATGCGCGGAATGGCTGCAGTCCGACAGGCTTCAGTGGTGGCTCCATGACACCCATCAACCACAACAGCAATAGCAACATGATGAACAATAACTTTTTGAGTCTCAAGCTGGGTGCAATGAACCCGCCGTCCATCACACCGCCACAGCAAATGGATCATCAGAGCATCATCAAGCAGCGATTCCTGGTCCAAGAGTCTCAGCCTGCGCCACACTACCTGCAACGGACACAGCCAGAGCAGCAGCAGCAGCAGCATCTACAGCAGCAGCCTCAGCATCATCAGCAGTACCCCCCGCAGCAACAGCAGCAGCAGCAGCAGCAACAGCAGCCTCAACCGGAGGCACAGAATCAATCCTTTAGCGATCTGATATTGTCCAGCACGATGATGGATCTGGGGCCAATGGATAGCAATGATCTGCTGCAAGGCATGGAGGAGACGCTAAGCAGTTTGGGCCTAACAGGAGGCGGTGGTGTCGCTGGAGCCACGCAAATGAACAATCATTACAATAATTATTAGTGTGTATTTGTTATGTATATTCTTAACCATCCGTAGAGCTATGTATGTAGACGGTTGCAGCAGCAGCAACTATGCAACCGATATAGACCTCTATTACATGACTCTGTTTCGAGCAGATTGTACATAGATCTTAAATAGAGGAAGAGAGTGAGAGAGTGAGAGAGGGGGGATATGCGAATCTCATTGCCCGATATCGTGTTTCGTTTCGTGTAATTGTTAATGACAAAATAATATATATAATAAACTATAATTTATGATGTTACACGGTTCATGTGTGTATTTTTTTTGTATATATCTGCTCTGAATGGGGGAAGGAATGTGTGTGTGTGTGTGTGTGTGTGTGTGTGATACTAGGTATATATGAACTTAGGATATATATCTGTGTGTGTGTGGGGCCTCCAATTTAACGACAGAAATGCGGCTGGCCCACACTGGGCTTGCTCTCATCGCGCATTCGATTGAAGAACACATTAATGTCCTCCGGCGTGACGACCTTGTCTTGCAAGGCGAAACCCTTTAGGTAATCCTTCAGCTTGTGCGTCATGTGATTGTATTGGGTAATCGCATCGATCTGCTGCGTGCGGTCAATGGAGGATAGGGCACGCATGCCCTGCTCGTAGCTGGAGTTCTCCTCGGCACGCTTCATGCCGCGCTCCTCGTACGTCTTGGCCGAGTCATCGGCATCCAGCAGGAACTCCACGGCAAACTCCTTGAAGAGGGCCAGGCACTCGGCGCATTGGCAAAGCGATTTGCGCCAGTCGTTGGTCCAGAAGGCGGCACCTGAAATGGGTGGGAAGTGGGATATTACAAATCTATGCGATCAAGCAAGCCCTGAGCTTGTCTCTCTGTATATTTCTATGCCAACGTATCACAACTCTTGACTCTACCTATCCGTAATCTAAACATATTTTATTGAAATTTTCACAACTCCAGAAAAAAATGAATGTGGAGTACTTTACTGAGGGCATGGACTGCCTGATGTACTGCGGCCTGAAGCTGTCGCCGGAGCAGCGCATACTCATCGAGAACTCGCTGATTGCCCTGCAGAACGACAATCGGTTCTCGGGCATGTACCTGTGGGGTCGCATCACGGCCACCAAGAGCGATTACTACATTGCCTTTGGCTACACCAACGACTGTCTCAAGGACCGCAAATACTTCTACAGCCTGGACCAGTTCCAGTGGCAGCTGCTGCCGTTCGTCCAGAGTCCGAAGATCTTTCAGGCCACCACGCTGGCCCGCGAGCCCTTCATTGGCGATCCCAGTCTGATGACCTACGTGAAGTTGGTGAGTGTGAACCGCAGCAGGGGAATCGAATGGTGGGGTGGCTTAATTGTCCGACTGTCCGATAGGATCCCACATTTGAGATTGTGGACAATCATGTGGTGGGCATCGGTCGCCCGGAGGTGGTCAAATTGAAGGAGGAGGAGCGCCTGGCCGCCATTGTGTTCATCATAACCGAGGAGTGCGCCATCTGTCCGCGCGGTGCCCTATACAAGATGACCGATGGCCGCGTTATACCCAATCAAATGTTCCGCGGCCTGGAGAACTTGCAGGTGGACAACCAGTCGTTCTATCAGCTCTATCGTCTGCCCCGCAACGACCTCAAGGTGAACCTGTCGAAGCGCAGCGACTACAACTATCCGATTGACTTTCTGGACACCATTGACTGCGTGATTCCGCTTGGCCAGGCCTTTGCCCTGAACTTGCAGCGCAACGAGCGTCTGGTCGTGATCAAGTCCTGCCTCTGGCTGGGCATGACCTTCTTCCACAAGATCAACTCTCACAAGCACGGATTCTTGTACCTGGGCGATGGCAAGAAGAATTCCGACTTGCTTTTCATGTATTGATTGTTGAGAGCGTTTTTTCTGATTAATAGTTTATTGTTTTTGGGGGATGCACTTACCCTGGTGTTTCTTAATGGGATTGGGGCGACGACAATCCTCAGCAGAGAGCTTGGGGCGTTTGCTAGCGGGCTCCTCAGTCTGCGCAGGCTTTGCTTCAGCTTCAGCTGCGGCGTCGACCTGGCCTTCGTCTGGCCCTGCCTTGGACTCCTTCTCCGGCTGAACGGGCTGCAGTGCCAGGCCAGTGTAGTCGCGCAGGAACTGGTGCTTGTCCATGCAAGTGTCGCAAATCATTTCGCTGCACGCATCGAGCATCTTCTCGGACGCCCCCGGAGCCTTCATGTGTGGCAAATGGTACCAGTCCTCGCAGACGACGCACTGCAGCATCACCTCCTCGGTGGTGCGCTCGGGATCCGGATAGGGACGCTTGCACTGGCAGTACAAGCCCTGGAAGTTCTGGTTGTACAGATTGGCGTCGTTTGGCGGCTGGGGTCCGTCCAGCTGGGGATTGAGGCAGCAGCGCTTGACGGCGCCCAGGCGCAATGTGGGACAGTCGCAGCGGAAGTTCCGCTTGGTGTAGAGCTCCACCAGCTCGTGGTTCTCGTGGCAGCGATAGGAGCAGGCCAGGCAGACGCCCGCGCACTTGGCCAGATCCGTGCGAGCCTCGGGGCAGCAGGTGAGGCAGGAGTACAAGGCCTGCCGCTGAATGGGACCTTTGGCATAGGTGCAGGCCTTCTCATCGGAGGCGCCCAGCACCGCGGCGTACTCGTCCTCCATTTCCTTTTCCTGTTCGAGCACGTCAACCATTGTTATGGTCGATTGTTCCAGTGTATTAACCTCATCGCCCTCGGCGTCAGTGGCGCTATTCATGTCGCTCATTTCTATGGCCCAACCACCTCTTAACTTTTGTGTTATACTGGTATTTATTGGACACTATGGGAAATTTAAATGTTCTCTTAACTTTTGCGTTGTACTGATATTTATTGGAAACTATGGGAATGCAGCGCCATTGGCGCGTTGTTGTACGAAAAATTGCAAATAATTGACAAATCAGAGATGTGCAATGGATCGATACAACATATCGTGACTTTTCGATACAGTATACCGTCAAATATACCGTAATATACTAAAAAGTTATGAAATATACTATATTGCGAACCGATATATCTTCCACCACTAACCAAACAGTATATTGATGTGGCAACGAAAACATACCAACAGAAGCTATTAGCGTTTTCCAGCACTGCCACACGTGTATGTTTTTACCGGAACAAATGGAAATTGACGAAGAAAAGCATCAGGTTGTTGTGGCAAAACCTCGAAATGAGAGCCTTTAAGAACATGTCCCATTGCAGGATGCCATTCCGCAGAACCCCAATGAGAACGTTATACGCGAGCGCCATGCCGAGATCGTGTCTGGAGGCAATGTTTTCTACAATCCAGTGCAGGAATTTAATCGAGACCTAAGCATCGCCGTCTTGAATGTCTACCAACAGCGTCTGGCCAAGGAGCGATGCGAGAAGGCGCTCAAAAAGCAGCGCAAGCAGGTGAACGAGGTGCAGGAGACTACACCACCGATTGCCACGCCCGCGAACTACGTGGCAGGCACACAGTACGCGGATGGATTGCGGATACTGGAGGCATTGGCTGCGACGGGACTGCGCAGCATACGATATGCCCAGGAGATAGCCGGCGTCCGTCAGATTGTGGCCAACGATCTGTCCCGCCAGGCCGTTCAGTCCATTAACGCCAATGTGCAGCACAACAAAGTGGAGCCACTGATTGAGGCCAGCCATGCGGATGCCATGTGAGTGCCCCAGAGTACCGACGACTCTGTCTGTAATAATTGTATTTGTCATTGTCATGGCAGGACACTCATGTATCTGTCCACCGCTCCGGAGAAGCGCTTCGATGCCGTTGATCTGGATCCCTACGGCTGTCCGAATCGCTTTCTCGACGGCGCCATGCAGTGCCTGGTCGATGGTGGTCTGCTCCTGGTGACTGCCACCGACATGGCCGTGCTGGCGGGCAACGCCCCTGAGGCGTGCTACGTGAAGTACGGCTCGGTGCCACTGCGGATGAAGTGCTGCCACGAGATGGCCCTGCGCATTCTGCTGCACTGCATCGAGAGCCATGCGAACAGGCACGGCAAGTACATTGAGCCGCTGCTGAGCGTCTCGGCGGACTTCTACGTGCGCATCTTTGTGCGGGTGCATGTGGGCCAGGCCCAGTGCAAGCTGTCCATGAGCAAACAGTCCTGGCTGTATCAGTGCACAGGCTGCGACACCTACACGCTCCAGCCGCTGGGCATCACCAAACCAAATCCCACGGCCGGCAATCCCCAGCAGCTCAAGTATGGCATCCCAACGGGTCCGGCCGTGAACTCCCAGTGCGAGCACTGTGGGCACAGGCACCACCTGGGTGGCCCCATCTGGTCCGCACCGCTTCACAATCCGGACTTTGTGCGGGACTTGCTCGAGGCTGTGCAGGAGACGCACCTAAGTGCACTGGGCACCCAACGACGCATCGTCGGAGTCCTGTCCGTGGTCCAGGAGGAACTTCCCGATGTCCCACTGTACTACACACCCGACAAGCTGTGCTCCGTGCTCAAACTGGAGATTGTGCCCATGCTGAGGTTCAGGTCTGCCCTCCTGCATGCCGGCTATCGTGTGTCCTACTCGCACGCATCGAAGAACTCGCTGAAAACAGATGCCCCGCCATCCGTGCTGTGGGACATTCTGCGCTGCTGGAGCAAGCGCCATCCAGTGAGGCCGGAGAGGATGATTCCGGGCACCCCCTTGCAGGCCATACTATCGAAGTCCTGCTCCAGGGACTACGAGTTCGATGAGCTCCATGCGGCGGCCAATCCAAAGAGTCGCCGCTCGGCACTCTCGCGCTTCCAGACAAACCCCGCGCCACACTGGGGACCGGGCACAAGGGCCACCATCATGTAAGCATATTGCCCTACCCACAGTTTGCCAGACTGCTTATATCTCTCTTCGCTTTTTCCAGGATTGGGGAAAATAAACTGCCAAAAAGCTATCGTAACCAGAACAAGAAGCAGCGCCATAAAACGTCACAGGAGGCGGCTGGGCCACAGGCGGAGCCACAGGTGGAAGCAGTTGAAGAGCTAGAGGAGGCAGAGGCACACCTGCCCAAGCAGCCCAAGCTGGAGGCAGCGACGGCGTGACGTTGCTTTATGGGGCTGCTTCCTTGTCAAAATTTAATTTTCAATAAAGTTATACAACAAAATTGTGGTCCCCTCTCTCTCTCTCGCTGAGTGGTGGAGGAGCGAAGCTAATAACGGAAGAAGTTGCCATCGGAGGTCTGGCGTGAGAAGCCATTGTTGACCAGTTGATTGTGGACGCCGCTGCAGATGAGCTTGACGCTATGCGGATGAATCTTCTCAACGCAGCCACCTGTGGGGAAAGTCGCGAATCAGTGAAGTTTATGGTGCGATGGAGGACAGACCAGACACTTACCAACGCGTAGCGGATGCCCCAAAACGTCGTCTTGCTTGCGGCGAATGACGCGCGTATTGCGCAGCACCCTAAATGACTGATGCTTGGCCCCGATCTCCTTGGCCCCGCCAGGCGCCGACCAACTGCAGATCGCCATGCACGTCTCGCGCTGCAGCACCGCGTCCACCTTCTCCGGGAAACACTCACGGCCATGATCGTAGCGCGACTGCAGCTGAAAGTCCAGCGAATCCTTGGGCACGTTCGGGTTGGCTCGATAACGCTTGCTGTAGCGCACCGAGTTCATGGTCTGGTGGTAGAACAGACGCTCGTGCGGCTCCAGATGGCCATGCCAGGTGCCCGTGTCCCCCAAGGGCGGCGGCGGTGGGGGCTTCGGGAACTGGCAAATGTAGGTGCCTTCCGAGCGCAGATCCGGCTCATACGAGTCATTGCGCAGCTGCACCTGTGTGTACTTAATCATGATGCTAGAACTATTCTTCTCTTGTTTTCTCAACTGAATTTTGAACTGATAAATACTGTAGTTTAATACTGAACAGATGTTGGGCAGAGCACAGTTTGTCGACTGATTCTCGGTTGCCCTGCCAATGTTAAGTCAATAAAAAGCACACGCCTGCCCGGTTTGAGGCCGTTGGAAACGGTTGGCGAAACGAGGTGGGGCAAACAAATAAGTCCTGATCTCACCACGAATCTGGACAGAGAGCTCTGTGTGTTTTCATAGTTATGATCAGTATTCCTGTCCAGAAAACAATCAAAAAATAGTCCTGCAACCCCTCTTTCGCGGGCAGCTACGTATATATATCTTTATCGGAATGCTTGGCGATACATTCATCGCTATGCGACTCTGAGTACCTGTCAAATCAAGTAGCCTTGGCAGGATTGCTTCCATCTCCAGGTAATTTGACAGCTAAAATTTATTACACAAAAATTTACAAGTCACGCAGTGCTGTTCTTCCTTGCGTTTGTTGCGTCGTTGCGGAGGTAAGCAGATATATAGATATATACATGGCCATTCATCCCAATGCTGGTCCACTTGGTCTGCAGCCAGGTAGCCATGCAGCGGAGATGCAGATGCGGAACTGGACTGGTGTGCCGAACCGCAACAGCAGCAGCAGCAACAGCAAATTCCTTTGCTTGTAAATCGGCTATGGCAGAGTTGCGTTGAATCTGAGCAGCACTCGTCCCCGACCATCGACGCCACGTAGAAGCCTCATCAGCGTCAGTGCAGCTGTGTGCAAGCCGCGTGAAACTCGCCAGGAGTTAGGCCCAACTCCGGGCGTTGTTTCGCAAATATCCAAGTTAAAATTTTCCAGATGCCACCGCAGCAGCCTCCACTTCAGCAGCTATCGAGAAACGCTCCTTGATTTGCGGCAATACCACCGCTCGCTCCCATGTGCAGACGGAACAAATCAAAGCAACAAGAAATTCTGCACGAGCAAAGCTCGAATTCTTTGGAAAAACGCATAAATAAATTTTAGTCCCATTCAAAATGTTTGACTCTTACATTCTTTGTGGGCTTTATTGGCTTTGTAGGTTCGTCCTTACTGCGAGGATTCTAAACGGGAATTTAGTCACGAATCTGTCCCTAGATTAATGCCAAATTAAAGAGGACTTGCACTATTGAACTACGAATTTTGAATGGCTTAAATGTGGAAATGCAGTCAAATAAATGCTTGACGTAAGTGTCAAATGTGGTCAAACTCGCCTACTGCCTGAAAATTAGTTTCGATGAAGCCTCTATCCAATCCACAAGAAAAAAAAAATAGTTGTAGATTAATTGGACTTTATTGAATATTTGTTTTAGCTGCAACATGATTTTAAATGTTAGTCTTCGTTTTATTGGCACTTACCACACTGAACAGATGATAGGGGGCACTAATCCAGGCCACAGCAGGTTGGCCTGCAAGAGATTCATTCCCATTTGCAGAGTCCAACGGCGACTCCATCGTAGCTTCTGCTGGAAATCTGTTTATTCGCCTAAACTTAAAATGGACGACCACCAAACGCCAAGCGGCAAGACAGGAAAACACCAACAACGCCAATCAGCAACCGGCAACCAGCAACCGGCAAACAGCAACAAACGACGGGACGAGAGAAGTGAAGTAACAGGAAACCGGAACCGGGAAACGGCCAACAGCAAACAGCCCAAGGAAACAGTCTATATAGTCTATCCCTTTTCTTTTTTCTCCCACTCTGATCGAGTGCAGCACGGCAGCAGCAACAGCAACAGCAGCACCAGCAGCAGCAGTAGCAGTAGCAGCGGTGGAGGTGGCGGCGACAGCGGCTGACAGGAAACGCCAACGCGGCAACGGCAGCAGTAACAGCAACAGCAACAGCTACGCGATGTCCGCTCTCGTGTCGTGTCGTGTTGTCTCTCTGCTAGCGCTGGACGGGGGAAGAAGAAGATGCTCTGATGCCTCTGCTGATCGGATCCGATCTCCGATCTCACTGATCTCTGATCTGCTCTCCTCCTCCCTCGCAATAACCATAACATTATTCTCAACCGCAACACTGCCACACACCAATTTGCCTGCATATATAATAAATGTGTAGAATGAGTGGGAGAAGCTGGTTAATAAGTTTTGTCGTTAAATTTAAACAAAGAACGAACGAAACGAGCAACACAAACGGAACGGAACGAAACAAACAGCAAGAGAGAGAGAAAGAGAGCGAAAACTGTTTCTCCTTTAATATTCATTCATTCTCTTGTCTCTTGAACTTCCTTATCAACTTTGTATTTGTATTTTACTTCCGGGGAGATTCGTAGCCGAGTTATTTAGAGTTTTATTTTGTCTTGTTAATGAAGCACTACACAATTGGCCAATTGCCAAAAATAACTAAATGCTACCATTTATCATATCAAAATCCCTAGAACGCCTCTTGCGGGATGGGATGGGCGCTAAAAGAACAAACGTTTGGGCGATCAACCCACCTTTGGGGGTGGGGATCGCATCCTGAACATAATAGTGCGTTGTGTTCTCTACTTGTTTGTTTTCCTTGCCAAAACTTAAAATAGTTTTCTATAAATAGTTGTGTAATGTGTAAGACTGTTCAATTTGTTTTGTATACCTGCTGTTCTGGTACAGCATGACAGGATGTGGAGCAAGATCCATGATCGGGATCTGTCTTGTCAGGCGAGTGCAAAACTGCAAGACTGCAAGGCATGAAATAAGAGTACGGATTAAAGATCAATATCATTCACTAGACCTATTATTCTACACTCACCTCGCACCAATTGGAACGTGAATATTAAGAGCGACTGCGACTACGGGAGGCTCCCACAGCCAAGGCGGATGCCCCGATACCGTTGCGACTCTCACCGCGCACTGGACTGCGCGAGAACTTGGTGCGGCGCTCCGGCGAATGGCTGCCAGCCGACTGAGAGCGCGAGCGTGGCGAGTAGGAGCGACGACGTGGACTACGCGAAGGGCGGCGCCTAGGTGAACGGGAACGCGAGCGACGACGACCGCCTCCACCTCCACCGCCTGCACCTCCTCCGCCACCACCACCACCACCACCAGATCCACCACCACGACGACCGTTGCTGCGAGTGGGCGACGAGGGACGGCCATAACGAGCCATCTGGACTCGGAGCTCCCTGCCATCTAACATGCGACCATCCATGGCCTCCAGTGCGTCTTCAGCATCACGTTTGTCGTAGAAGCTATGTAATATGGCGGGTGAAAATGTAGTTGTTAGCTATGGTCATATATATCAATTCATTCAGACATGGATTCATTTGGATTGTGGTATTCGCAGTATGTTGGCTAGCAGGGTTTTGGTAGGCAACAGTTGCAAGAGAACACAGTTTTTCTGGCATCTTTTGCTATAGAAAATGTCCAGAATAATAGCTGAAACATCTTCGAGGAAAGCGAATAATGCAGAGATGATATCGGATGAGGCCTGAGCGGAGTTTTTGTAAAATTCTCAGTATGTTGGCTAGCAGGGTTTTGGTAGGCAACAGTTGCAAGAGAACACAGTTTTTCTGGCATCGTTGCTGCTGAAAATGTCCAGACTGGTAGCTGAAACATCTTCGAGGATAGCGAATAATGCAGAGGATGATATCGGATGAGTACTAAGCGAGTTCTTGTTAAATTCTCAATATGTCGGCTATCAGGGTTTTGATAGGCAACAGTCAAAGGAACAAAGTTTTTTCTGGCATCGTTGCTGCTGAAAATGTCCAGACAGGTAGCTGAAACATCTTCGAAGATGGCAAATAATGCAGAGATTATATCGGGGGAATTCTTGTAAAATTCTCGGTATGTTGGCTAGCAGGGTTTTGGTAGGCAACAGTTGCAAGAGAACACATTTTATCTAGCATCTTAAATTGCTAGGAATACAAACACAAATGGGACATGTTCATATATTTTGTTAGCAAGAAATGCGAGAAATTTCCCGACACGCCGTAAATTTAATATTCAGTAGTGAAAGGTGCTTTCTCTCCATATCGGAAACTTACCGGACGAAAGCAAAGCCACGGCTCTCACGTGTGTAGCGGTCCCGCGGTATGTAAATATCACCCACTTCTCCACAACGCTCAAAGACGCGACGCAAGTCCTCGGGAGTAGTGCGATATGTAAGATTGTCGACCTGTACATATTAAATACGCATTATTTTCATATGCAAAAAAGAGGTTAGATAACCCCCGGCAACGTTGTCTGACGCAGCCGGCCGCCATTTTGAGTGCGGCAATTTAATTGTTTTGTACTTGCCTTCAGCGAAACCATGCCATCGATGCGTGGTGGCGGACGTGTGCCGCCCAGCGCCCCAGCACTACCGCCATTACTCATTATTATTTAGATTAATAGGATATCACTTAATTCCAAAATTTTAGACGCGTCTGCTCTCTTTTCACAATTTTTTTTTTTTTGTGAAAATGGCGTCAGGCACGTCTAGGGATGTTAAATATTGACATATAAATCTATCGATATAGGCTACTTATCGGTGATATTTTTGGTCGATTTTTTTATTGGACAAGCGAACTAGCTAAAATATTTTTGTAGGATATCGAACTGTTTTTCAAGACAGAAAATACGTCCTTAGATTTGTTGTATGTCTTTACCCCCAAGTTTTTGTGCGAGAAGATGAATTTGACCACAGTATATAGATGTGCCAGTTCATACAACGAAAGTGGCGCAGCGTACGGTCCCAGGTCTTCGGCTCGGGACCGTCGGCGTTCGGCACGTTTTTAACAGCTGATGTAGCGATCTGAGCTGACCTGCCGCAACATAAATGAGGAATGGGCAGACTGGGGGAATAAATACAATATATAAAAATAAAATATGTTAATTGTTTGATTTATTTAAAATTGCACATTTACATATGCATATCCATATGCCATTCGACTATTGCACATCGATACAAAACAGTATCGATAACAATCAATCTTTGTTTCCATGCGTGGCGCTTCAAAAGTAAAATAATATTAAAAAACATTAAATTAAGAGGAATATATATTTAGTTGACAGTTCTTCCAGTTACACCTGCACACGACACAAGAGTCTCCAATCCAAACCGGTACACACGGCCTGCAGACAAAGGTTAGATTGCCAGAAAAGCTACCGTCAACAACAGACAGAGTGGCCTGGCTAGAACTATCGTGGCAGAAAGTTAATCAGGTTCTAACAAAACAACAGTTATTTTTAGTTATTTATTCTTGCTTTATAGTCTGGCTTGGGCCCCGCCCCCCGCCTCTGCAGCTCGCGAATCAACGAAAGGCGTGTGTTTTTGTGCCATTCATTCCCGACCCGACCGCGTGTGTGTGTGAGTGGACGCAGCGTGAAGAAGAAGCAGAAGTTGAAGGAGGGCGAAAGTGTGTCGCGTGAAAAAAGTGCGAGATATTTTTGGGCATAATTGAAAGCAGGAACCATGGCCGCTCAAGAGAACTCGGATGTTTCCACAAAATTCTCCACGCTGAACGTGAACGCAGTGGAGTTCGTGCCGAGCTTCAGCTACGGTGGTCCTGCCAGCACAGCGGCTGTGGTATCGGCGCAAGCAGAGGGAGAAGCGCCGCCGCCAGCGGACACCCAGCCACCTGGAGCAGGGTCGGGATCAGCCACACCAGCCACAACTCCGGACTCCACCGGCAGCGGGGGATCAACAAATGCCTTGGTAACGGCCGCCGGAGCAGCAGTGGCAGCAGCAGCAGCAGCAGTGGGACCTGCGGAGACACAAGCGGGATCCTTGTCGGCCGCCGCCTCCAACTCAGCCTCGCCCGCACCGGGTTCGCCGGCTACCACGCCTTCGACGGCGGCAGCGGGGCCAATTGAGAACGTCAGCGCGTCGGACAAAGTTGCAAACAATGGTAAATAGCCTAAGAGTATCCCCCGGGAGGTGGAGGTGGTGGGGTCGGTCGGCAGCAGCAGCAGCTTTCTAACTGCTTTGGCGCATTGAACTTTTCCTCTGTGACGTCACATTGACGCCTGCATTTGTGTACATGTAACAAAGACAAGTCGCTAGGCCATTGTTGTTGCCCGAGTTCACCTGCCTCCCCCAACCACCCGGCATTGCCGTCAATCGTCAATAAAGAAAAGGAAAAGTCTGCAATTGCTAGGTTATTATCGCCTCCAAAACATAACCTCAATGTGCGGTGTGCATCGTCGGCAAATCGTGACAATACAATCGCATGTGTTGCTTTGGCTGTGTGTGATATTTGTAATTCAACAACTGTGAACCGCAATTTTCATGCATAGAAACAGTTGTTAGTCGCGGCAGGCATTTTCTTTGGACCACCGCTTTTCACGCCGTCGTGTCGCCGCCGCCAGTGAAGTCTCACATTCTCAGAGATGAGAAAATGATTTGACCGTGACTAATCGCATATCTGGAATAGCAGATTGTGAAGCACTGTTTACCCAAGCAAAATATTTCAAGTGCTGGGATAATAATAATCAGTTCCAATTGGGAAAACAGTCAACAAATTTAAATAGAACCGTTCGCTTTCAGTGAAATTCAACTACTTTCAAAATCTAATCTGACAAAGTCACAGTTCGCAGTAACAGGATGTTAGGTATGGATCACAGCACAGCCGCTGCTCATCTCTATCCACCTTTCACATTTGAATTTCACCCGGCGACGCTGACACCAGCAGCTGTTCCACACTTTTGCCATTCACTTGGTGCCATTTTTACGCCTGTTACGTTTTGTGCATGCGTTTATTTGGCTCTTTGCCTCACACGCTCACCAACACACACGCAAACGCACATACAAACACACACGTGTTTAGCCATGTCTCTTGTGTTTTGACACGTTTACGTGCAGCTTTTGCTTCCAAGCTGCTTCGTTCGGTGCGTGGAACGGCTGCTAATGTTGCTTCGCCTTCCACGTTATCGCTGTGGCGACTGTTTCGGCCTGAATGGGGCACTTATTGCAGCTCCTCTGCGGTTGAAACCGCTTTGAACTTGATTTCAGTGCGGCAGTCACACTGTAGAGAGCGGACCGAACGCGTACTGGTAGTGCCTGCCTGTTGACTCTTACACTTCGCCGCGATCAGAAGCCACGCGACAAAATTACTCACCTTTTGGGCAACAGTTTGTTTTCTCTGATGTAATAATGATTAATCAGAACGGCGGTGCCACCGAGAGTACTATCTCCAAGAAAAATTCGAAGAAAAGTTAGTAACTATGGAGACGGAAAGAGACATCCGGATCCAGCTTAAAATCATCTCCTAGTGAAATCCAAAACGCGTCCAGCTTCAACTGAAAGCAAGTAAAATGTATCCTGGCCCCCTATCAACTTCTTGAAACTGACTTGGATCACAAGCGAACCTTGCATTTAGCACTATGCGACACGTGACTCATCTGTTTGCCGAGCGATTAGCATGTCTCTCTCTCTGTATGCTTAACCCGACAATTACATGAAAAAGTCGTCCCATTATATTAGCTTAACCTTCGATCAAAAGTTGAGAACCAGAATATCCATGGAATATTCCATGCGATTACAATTAAAATCCACCACACACATATACAAATATACAAAATTCCTTCGTTTAAATCTGCAATATCATTTTCTGATCATAAACGATGTTTTCTCTTTAATTAGAAACCGATCCCGCTGATAGCTGGGATGTGGAAGACGATACAGTCATAACTCCTGAAGACGAAGAGGCCGAGGATGAGTTCTTGGAGGGCGAGGCCACGCCAAAGGTGTCCAAAAAGAAGATCGTGAAGGTCGAGGAGAACAGAAGCAAGCGGGAGCATGTGAACGTAGTGTTCATTGGCCATGTTGGTAAGTGGATACTTGCGGATTTACTTGTGTAAAATCTCCTGCTAACATTACTCGTTTCTTGTCCCATGAATAGATGCTGGCAAATCAACAATTGGCGGACAGATCATGTCGCTCACAGGGATGGTGGACAAGCGGACGCTGGAGAAGTACGAGCGTGAGGCACGTGAAAAGTCGCGAGAGAGCTGGTACCTCTCCTGGGCGCTGGACACAAACCAAGAGGAGCGCGACAAGGGCAAGACCGTGGAGGTGGGGCGAGCGTTCTTCGAAACGGACCGCAAGCACTTCACCATCCTCGACGCCCCAGGCCACAAGAGCTTTGTGCCGAACATGATTGGCGGAGCGGCACAGGCAGATCTGGCTGTTCTGGTCATATCGGCGAGAAAGGGTGAATTCGAAACGGGATTCGATCGAGGCGGACAGACCCGGGAGCACGCCATGTTGGCCAAGACAGCGGGCGTTAAGCATCTGGTCGTGCTGGTCAACAAAATGGACGATCCAACAGTCAATTGGGATCAGACGCGTTACAACGAATGCAAAGACAAGATACTACCATACCTCAAGAAGCTGGGCTTCAATCCAGCCAAGGATCTTACCTTTATGCCTTGCTCCGGTCTCAGCGGCTACGGCCTAAAGGATCAAATTCCAGAGTCCATCTGCCCATGGTACAGAGGGCCCGCGTTCATCCCATTCATCGATGAACTGCCCTCACTCAATCGCAAGTCTGACGGGCCCTTCATCATGCCCATTGTCGATAAATACAAGGATATGGGAACAGTCGTAATGGGAAAAGTGGAATCCGGAATGGCGCGCAAGGGTCAAAACTTGCTGGTGATGCCCAACAGGGTATGTTATCCTCGACTCCATTCTCAACTATAGCCTCGATTTTAATTCAATTTTCCAATCACTCACTATTTTCTTCAGACACAAGTGGCCGTAGATCAACTGTTCTCCGACGACTTTGAAGTCACATCTGTTGGTCCCGGCGAGAATGTCAAGATCAAGCTGAAAGTGAGTGTTTAGCCTTACCAGATTTGAATATAAATTCATGTGATTTGTGTTTGTGTTTGTAGGGCATTGAGGAAGAGGATGTCTCGCCTGGCTTTGTACTCTGCGATGCCACTAATCCCATCAAGACGGGAAAAATCTTCGATGCTCAGGTCGTTATATTAGAACATAAATCAATTATCTGTGCGGGTTATTCGGCCGTCATGCACATACACTGCGCTGCCGAAGAGGTCACAGTAAAGGTGCGTTCTCTTTATATCTGTTATTATAAAATTCATACTCTATTTTGTGCATTTGTTTCCATAGGCCCTCATCTGTTTGGTTGACAAAAAGTCTGGTGACAAATCAAAAACACGTCCACGGTTCGTTAAGCAGGATCAGGTTGCAATTATGCGAATCGAATGCTCCGGAATGATTTGCCTTGAACAGTTTAAGCTCTTCCCACAAATGGGTCGTTTCACGCTAAGAGATGAAAGTGAGTTTTAGCAGCGACAAAAATGTTGAAATATCTGGTATATATGCTTTCTTTTTTTTTTGTTTTGCAGACAAAACCATTGCCATTGGTAAGGTACTGAAGGTGGTCGAATAAATTGAGCCAAGCTACATTCTAGCGCCCGCCTTTCACTGCGACTTTGAGAATAGCCTTGCACGCCACGACGAGAGACAACAGCAACAACAACAACGCCACGCTTTCTTCATATTTTACAAAACGAAAAAAAACCCAGGCAGTTACACCCTCATACACCACATACCGTTCTTTTACGTTTACCAGCAATAGCAATTGATTATACATTGATTAGAGGAAGTTTATATATAGCAAACGACATGAATCGCTGAATCGGATGCGCGTTCCCAGAGCCCGGAGAACGGGCAAACGGAAAGTTCGTTTACAAAACCGAAAAGACATTCAGCTGGGACTGGGACAGGCTGAGAGATCGAAACGGAAATGCATTATATACGAAAACATAAACTATATTATGTGCAACTAAAAGAAAATCGGTAGCAAGACCATTTGCGAAACAAGATGTACTATTTATATATATACACAACAAAAAAACACATACATATATATGCATATATATATATAAAGCGTATACACAGAACAGTATATATATATGTATGCGAAGCGGGAGAGACATGCCGATGCCGATGATGATAATTGATTACGTATGATAACACGCATAAAATAGGTTCTTATTACAATTTGCGTTTGTTAAGGCCCACAACACTCAGCGTACGAGTAGCCGCCGTCGTTTTATTTTTATTTTTGGTCTATTACTTTTGTATAAACTGTAAGCATTATATAACACGTACACGTACATGCCTAAATCACGCGCGCAAGTCGTGACATTTTTTAAAAACTAAAAAAAAAAACTAAAAGCTGCAAGCTACCCAATTTTTATATTTATACAAGCGAAAAGTAAGAAATATATCCGAACCGGTCTCCGTCACGCCACGGTTCCCCAATAGATTTCCCCCATACCACACCGCCCCCCTCCATAGATTTTCCTTTTGTATGAGCCTTTAAATTGCAAATATGTTAAATAATTCCGGCTAAATCGATTACGATTATTTACCCATCTTCTATTTTTTTTACAAATACATATATTATATAACTAAAGGCTTTAATTTAAGTTTAAGCCCCAAAAGGATCTTTGAAAAAAGTTAGCTTGATTCGTAAGCTCAAAATGATAGATTGTTTGAAATCATTAAACTAAAACAAAACAAACAAAACACGAAACAGAAATCGAAACTGTACGGGTGAACATTATCCATTACGTAAAAATGTAATTGTTAATTTTATATTACTTACTTTATATTCTATTCACTTAAAAGCCAATCCCCATATTTGTTTTGCTACCACAAACGAATTTGATTTGATTTTTTTATAATTTAGTTAATTGAAGAAATCGTGCAAAAACCACACGAACCAATACGAAAAACCCCAATTATGAAGGAACAAAATAAAAACGCCTTTTTGCTATCAAGCAGAAACAAAAAACACAAACACAAACCAGATTTTCATTTCGGTTGTCATTGCATTTAATTTACCTATGATTTTAGCTATAATTTGTCATCCATAAAAGGACCAGGACCAAGGCGGTTTCAAAAAAGAATATTCACACATTGTTCAGAGTTTTGTTCTCGCTCCTCGTTTTGTCTAAACTAACTTATGCCCTGCCCCCAGAGTTCCCACGCCTTTGTTAACAGAATAAAAGTTGAAATCAAAAGTTGTTGCCACTGAAACATAAACAAAAACAAGTAAATGATTAATAAATTTATATAAAATAATAATATCATTAAAAAACAGTCGTTGAACAGTCGCCCCTTTGTCTAAGTTAATCCAATTAACTGAGAAATATTTAACTTCGAGAGCATAATCGTACTTAACGGAATGGGAATAAACCAAAACCTGCTTTTAACGCTTTCCACAGCCTCCTCCTATGAATCGAATCGACAAAATCGAGAGGGATATTTAATTAATTATATACATAAATAATACAATAAGTGCGATATAATTGTTGACCACGCGAGAACTTATTTAAAAATGTTTCACACAACAAACACACACACACATATAGAAGACAGCCAGCCACTAAGAACGGAGGGAGGGTCGAACACTACATAAGTAAGGGAATAGAAGCGATCGAAATAATAGAATTATATAGACAAAACGGGAATATTTATACAGAAAACGAAACTCAAATGTATTATTATTATACAAAATACATACGTATGAAATGAAAACAAAACAAACAAAAAAAAAAACAACCGCATACATTTGAACATTTTTTATCAATAAAACGTGAACAAAAAATTAAAGCAAAAAAAAGATGAAAAAAAACCAAGCGAACCAAAAATTAAAGGAGTCTTTATTTTGAGAACTTGAACTGATTATTGTGGGTGCGCCTAAGCGCAGGATATACATATGTCCCTATACTCCCAAAGGCGGGAAATCCTTCCAAAGTCTCGCATCCTTTCCACTGGAACACTGGAAAAGCTTTTGGATTTGTTTGAACCCCATTTGACGGAGACTAAAAGGACCTAAAGCAGCCACAATTGATGTAACGACATATCTCCGGGCGACATAGCTCCTGCCACACATTTTTCAGCAGGAGATATGTCGCTAGGGCCTGCCATGAGATATGTCGCTATGCCCTAATCGGGAATCGTGCTGGAAATATTTTGCAAAACGAAATCAACATATTTCCGGCTAAAATGTAAACACAGCAATCCATGCCCGACGAAATCCCAGTTGTCGAATTCTGATTCGTTTGAGACTACTGAAAATATTTCAGTAGTTCCCTGGACGGCAGCCAGGGAACACAAAAACCCAAAATTCTAAATTAAAATAAAAACAGTTTTCAGTTTTCTGTTTCGGAGTAATTTTAAGTGAAAAGTGAAAATAGTTAATTAGTTTTTAAGTTTAACGTTTTTTTTTTTAAATATTTTTTACAAAAGCAAAAAAAAAAGGAATGCAAGTTGTAAGCCTGATTTGAGTGTGTTTTAAATAGTTTTCCTTTTACGAATTTCACTGCCAGCCGCGGAGTTCCAAAAGGAGTCACGTCTGCACAAAGGGTTACATAAATGTACGTCGATTGAACACTACACAACAAGAACAAGAACAAGAACAAGAGAACAAGAGAACAAGAACAACGACATTGGCGACATTGGTGGTAATTATTCAGTTTCGGTCACCGCGGGAAAGCAGTTTCTCATTTTCCAGCTTTTATTTATAGGATAGAGCAGAGATACAGCGGGAGATACAGCGGGATATGCAGCGGGATACACAGCGATGGACAGAGATGCACAGATACACGGGTGTGTGGATTAGGCCTACTGGGGATACCACGTTAAAAAAAACGCGCCTAGAACTATACCACATGCTGGTGGTGTGGAAATCAGTTCATTCAACTGTTCAAACTTTTAATTAAGAATTATTTTTATTGCCAATCGAGAGTTTATTTATTTTTTATGGGGGGATGGGCTGACAGCTCTTGTCAAATACATTGCCAGACTATTGGACAGAGAGCTGGCTTGGATTTACATGTCAGTGGTGCGACGAATGGAGTATACAGAATACCACTGTATGAAGTCTGTGTGTTGGCTAGCTATGGAAAAATATAATTACAATATTCTGGGGACAAAAGTCAGCTGCTGACTCTGCTACGGATCATGTACAGTCTTAGGGACACCAAAAAGCGACACTCTAAGCCTTTGCTTCGATATTTCGGATATTCAAACTGTTTTGCTTTAGGGTTCTAGGGTAAACTGACAATATTGACTAGGGACATCGGGAATGCCACACACAGAGGCTTCTTGGGAGCCACATAAATTGATGAATATTATTTTATCACAGTGGCCTTTGCATTGAAAATCCTTAGAAACAAACAAAAACTCTGATGAAGCCATGACACCATCATGAACGTGTGCATCATGTCAAAGGGTTGGAAAGGGGGATATGGCCCTACTGGTCCACAGTGTCAACGTGCTGGCCAACGTGCTGGCCGCACGCAGCCCTTCGAACGAGCAGCCGCCACGCGCCGTAGAGGTGGAGTACACGGATCCTCACTGCAGCGTCAAGCAGGAGAACTTCGATGGTGAGCCAATTCCTGAGTTTGGCACCCAAAACGGGTCAATCACCGACGCCGACCTGGGCCCAACTAATATTATTTGTTCATTCGTTCTAGTGTAAAATAAAGCTGTCACACTTCTATGCCTGCTGATCTTCCAAGTATTGTTTGACAAAGGATTTGATCGCACTTGAATGCGAGTATTGTGTTTGGTGTGAGACCCCTAAAAGGGCTCACAGGTGGTGGCTGATTCGCTCTACGCAAACCAGCAGTGGGCCAGCAGGTGGGCAGGGGCTAAAAGGAGCAGAGCAATCGAGAAGATTGAAGTTCGAGCAGTTCCTCCATACTGGCGCCTCAACGCTTGCTTTAGGCATATCGCTGTACAGTGTTGGACCTTCCCACCTTTCGCTGCCTGGCGGCACTCCGGCTCCAATCAGCTTCCCCTGCGTCGTTGCCTTGCCAAATATTAATTGTCTACTCGCATGGAGATTCCACATATACAATTATAAATTCATTTTGATTTATTATAAAGCTATTCATGGTTTGTGTGTTGTGTTCCTTAAATGAGTAGTAAAAAAACATGACAAAATTAAACACGGAAATAAACAAAAAATGGAAAATGGATAATATCCTAGGCAGCGGGACAGCGGGACAGCGGGACAGCGGGAGGTTTGCTTGTACATATGTATGGCTGTGGAATTATTGGCATCTTCCCTCCAGCGATACTTACACACTAAACAAAATTCCTTTGCCCCCCTTCGTTGTCTCGCCTGTCCTATGGGGCATTCGGTTCCTTAGCATTGAGTATCACGCATTGGTTCTGGCCTTAGTATTGCTCTTCTCGGATCTTCTCGGCTTTCTTGGCCAGCAGCGGAGTGATGGGCTGATCCTTCCTGTTGGCTCGCTCCAGCTGCTTGGCCTCCTTGTCGCCATAGATGTCCAGATCCCGGCCGTAGTACCACACCAGGTAATCGAAGAACATCCCAAAGAAGGTGAGCACTAGCCAAAGGGGGAGAAGGAGACAGATGCGGGCATTAGAATTGGTTTGGAGGGGGCCCATGGGCACATCTTACAGCAGGACAGGAAGTTGATGGAGTAGCGGAAGCGCTGCTGGTCGTACAGCTGACAATTGCCTTTGCCATTGCAGGTCTGCGTCCACACCAGGCACGTGGAGTCGATGAGGCGACCGAATATAATCGGACCCGGAATCAGGGCGAACATGCTGATCATCATGAGGGCCAAGCCCTGGGCAAAGGACTTGTCGCCCGCCTCCACGGCACGGTAGTTGACCAGCACATTGCCCACGCGGCCGGAGGAGCCGAACCAATTGATAACCATCGAGGTGATGGAGAACACCCAGAAGCTCCAGTTGCAGCCCTCCATGCAGATGCCCGGCCGTATGACCTCCTCCTCGGGCTGGGAGCGACGCACTCGCGAGATCAGCTCATCCCCCAATTCATTCTCGTCGTTGAGCAGCGGCAGCGGCACGCCGCTGAGCGTGTAGTCTGTGGCTGTGTAGTCTGTGGCTGCATCCAGTTCTGGTTGAGGTGTCGGCTCCAGCAGCTTCAGCAGCCTCTCAGCTGCATCGGGCTGCAGTACGCCAGCTGCCGCCAGGCAACTGCAGTTCTCGTACAGCTTCGACTCGGCATTGTAGCTCTGACAGCCCGCATGGCAGGCGGAGAAGTAGGTGGTGTCGGTGGGCTCGTGGCAGACGGGCGTGTAGCTCATGCCACTGCAGGAGCAGTTCGAGTTGCAGGCACTGGTCAGGTTGAGTCTGTCGCGCGGGAAAAAACTTCATAAAGTTAAAGATGGTAACGGAATAAAGGACTGCGGAAGCTTACCCGCCCACATGAGCCATCGAAAAGGTGTCTGGGCAGTAGAGGAAGGCGTAGGAGATCTGACCCATTATGTAGACACAGCCCACGATCACATTCCACATGAGCACCTTGCTGACAGCCGGCTTCTTCTTGGACAGCACGAAGCCGGAGCCAATGAGGCCCACGACCATGCCCAGAATGGACACAGGACCCACCACCTGAAAAGAGCAAGCGGACAATTATCCTGGGACTGAGTTGAGACGGACAGCAATCGACTCACAATGGTGGCGCTCTGCGAGTTCTTGTGGAACTGCACCTCCATGTACTTGGTGAGGAAGGTCATGAAGCCAGAGGCGCCGAGTATGTAGAAGACGCCGGAGGTGATGTTGAAGATCAGCAATTTGTTGCGCAGCAAGCGCATCAGGGCACGGGGAAAGTCCTTCAGCTTGGGCAGATCCGCATTGGCACCGGCGCCGGCGCCAATGTTGTCGAGGGCGGCATTCGAGGAGAAGCGACTGCTCAGCGAGAGATTCTCCTCGCGCTTGAGCTCCTCGTGGCGCATGGCCAGCGGCTGGTGGGAGTTGTGCTTGAGTGTGTCGCGTGCCTTCGGCAGCTGCTTGGGAAAGAGTCCAATCAGGCCGGAGAAGAGACACATCAGCGTGCCGAGGATGACCCAGCCCAGCCACCAGGCGCCCAGCCAACGCGGATCCTTGCTGTCGATCAGCGGCGTCTTCGATGGGTCAATGAAGGTGTTCAGCGAAATGTAACCTAGGGGGGAGGGATGGAAGGGAGCAGGAAGTCAGCTGTCAGGCTGTGGGCTCCGTTGGGGGCTGAAGTTTACGCACCAAAGAGGAAGCCAACGACTGGGCCAATCATTCGCAGGGACATGGCCACCGCCAGCATCAGCGGAGTGTTTGTCTTCTTGGTGTTGTCGTCCAGATAGGTCTGGCCCAGCGAGTAGTACAGGGTGTTGCCCACGCCCAGCACAAACTGCGAGAGAAAGATCAGGACGAGGGGCACATAGGTGAAGAGATCATCGCAGCCCTCCTCCTTCTGGCCAACGCCACACAGCTGCGCACTCTGCGATGAGGTGACATTCTGCATAGAAATAGAATATAGATATAGGGAGAGTGAGAGTGAGAGAGAGTGGGAGTGGGAGGTGGGTGTGGTGTGCACTCACTGGCAGTGAGGGAATACCCGCTGCAGAGGTGCCATTCGTGAGGCTATCCTGATACTCCTTGGTGAACTGCAGGACATCGTGGCCAGCGCCATAGATGAAGTGCGGCAGAACGAGAATGTAGCAGGACAAGCCACAGAAGACAATGCCCCAGGCGATCCAGCGCGGACGATTGCGCTGTCCGCCAATGTACGACAGGATGAGCGACAGCATGATCTGTGAGATCTCGTTGCCACTGAGAATGATGCCTGCAAAACTGAGCATTAAGTGTGCAAGCTGGAAGGAGGTTTGCGATGCTCTCACCTGTGGTCTGGCTGGGTATCTTGAAGCGTTTCTCGAGCGTGGTCAGTGTGACAATGAAGTACATGTAGGACATGGCCTGGATGGTGCCCAGCAGTCCGTAGACACCCATGAACATCTTGGTGGTGGCATATTTCTGCAGCCAGGCCGGATGCCAGTTGGCCATGCCGCACAGGTAGTGGCCCGGTGGGGGCGCTGAGCCCCGTCGTCGCACTTCCGTCATCGCCGTGCCACCCTCTGTTCGCCTCTGTCTGTCTTCTGTTTGTCTGCCTGTCAGCTTCTGGGGGTGGTGTGGGGGATGCGTCTGTCTTGTCCGAGCCGTGCTGCTCAATAAACCATTGAACGCGCGCAGATAAGATTGTGTGCCGTACCAGACAGGCGGACAGGAGTGGATGCCGCTGCAATCAACACAGACACAGAAGAAGGGTTTGTAAATCACCGATGCACTGCAAATTCCTTGCTTGATTCGTGTTCCCCGCCAGCTGGAAATAGTCCGGGTAAGCGTGACTCTTGGAAAGCGGATCCGTAAACATTCGTTTAGGGCATATAAAGGCTAAATTTAATTGTCCCGATAGGGAAATTCGGCGTATCGATTAACTAACCAGCGATAATGGCATGGCACCTACTCAAGATCACATTAGGTCTGGACTGGGCCTAGGCCTGGGCACTGGCTGCCGATTAGATTGGGCCATATTAAATTTGGTATCTATATGGCTGGGGGGGTGCTGTGCTCTGGTGCTCTGTGCTCTAAGGTGCTCTGATATTTTTTGCTATTTTTACCGCATAACGATGACCGCCCCAGCACTCGTCTGGCGGTCATAGGCACAGGCATAGGGATGCCTGCCTTTCGATTGATCAAATCACTCCCTTGGGCAGGTTATAGTTACGCGTATCGCTAATGATATCTTATCGGAGGTTGTGGTCTGATCAACAGGTGATGTTCGGTGGAACTAAGTGCGGAATAATCACAGTGACAACACGATTGGCTTCACGGAATCTTCCTAATCCCAAGGCAATTACAGGTTCAACGTGAAGGAACTCTTGGGCATGCACTTCCTGCTGTTACAGGTATTTGCTGTAGCACCTGCACCACCTGCTCACAGGTCCAATAAATTCCCCAGCTATATTTCGATTGCTAGTGCCCCAATTTCGGTTAACTCAGATGTTATGCTGATACTATATATCAGTAAGTAAAACACTTCCTAATCAGCTTGGGCAATGGCGTTCGTTTTGGTCAGGGACTGCACTGAAATGAAATCAGTTTAATGAACTCAGACTGCACAGAATTCCACTCAATTGTACTTGAAATAAATTTACAAAATTATTTGCCGCTACATCGGTCTTTTTCCTCATTTTCAGTGTTCAGTGATTGATTTATTTACAAGTGTGGAACAGACATAGATCACTTGATATGCGCATGGCAGGTATGCCAGTGGTATCTCTACCATAGACTATAATTACCCAGGGCACAGTCGAATTTTTCTTTATCAAACGTTTTGATGCTAAGTGTCCAGTTAGGTGATTCATTACAAGACAAAACACAAATCACATTTTTTTTTGGAGGGGTTCCTGCTATTGTGAGTCAGTTAAAACAATTTCAGGGCTCTTCAGCAAATAATTTGGGCACAAGGAAATATTTTTCAAGCACATTTGGAATTTAATTTAATTTAATTATCTTTTTGCAGAAATAACTGCCTGCCGCTTGCCACTTGTTGTCACTTTATTAAGGATATATGCACACACACAAATATGTATATGTACGAGTATATATCCCTGCCGCATGCCGAGCTACCCCAATGTCAATCACCGGCTGTGGGGGCTGCCCACAATCGCAATGCCAGACAGGTGCACGTAAATAGTACGATTATACGTACTTTTTGCCTGAGTAGTTTAGTCGATTTCCTATATTATTCGCACATTTGTTGTACAATAATCTTATCGTTGAGCACTTGAACGATTAATTTAATTTGCCGCCGCTCGAGTTCCTTTTCGCAGGAACGGCGTTCAGTCCCGCTAGCGCGAAACACTAAAGATGGCTGGGTGGGGTGGTTTGTGTATAAAGACGAGGACCGAGCGACCCGTTCAACGTTGTGGCGCGAATCAGACTGAAAATTGAAAAATTTTAAATTGTCCGCTGGCCGGGACGGGCCGGGCCGGGCCGCGGCTGCCTTGTCGCAGTCAATCGAAGCCCGATAAAGCATTATCAAAGCTATAAAATAAAGCGGCCGCGCTGCGAGTAAATAGTTCCAGTCCATCTACCCCACGCCACATGGCTGGCCCCACGTGCAAATATGATTTAGGTTGTTTCTCCAAAAAAAACAAAAACAAAAACAAACCCAAACTTGACATTATCATTTTTTGTTGTTGTCTTTGTCTTTCGGCAGGCTGCTTCTCCTTCGCACTTTCTTGTGGAGACTTTTGGCGGGTGGCCTGTGGCCCATAGCAATAACAATGACAATAGAAAACTACGGCACAATAACAGAACGCGACAATGACATTATTATTAGTATTACGATCCACTGACCAGTGTCGCTCCCCCCTCCGCCACCCACACAATGGCGATGCCCCGCACTATGATTAGATTTGTAAGCAAGTGAATTAGGCAGAATCTGTGTGTGTGTGTGTGTGTAGAGTGGAGAGTGTGTGCAGAGTGTAGTGTGTGGAGAGCATAGAATGTGCAGCCGAGGGGCGCCACCACAGTACCCGGAGTCCGTCTAGGAGTCCGTTTTGATGTGCAGATCCGGATCGTTGACATTCTGCACGAACCTATTGCGGCCAATGTCCCAGAGCATAATCAGACCCACGCACAGCACAAAGAACAGGATGCCCAGCGTGAAGATGCTCTGCGAGAGCACCGCACTGATGTATATGTCGCAGTGCCAGCAGGGCTTCGGCACGTAGTCCGGATTGAAGCCCGAGTCAGATGCTGCAAAGAGAAATCAAATGATTACAATGGGTACAAGCCAAGCCCAAGCCCAAGCCTTGAGCCTTGAGCACCCACCCGTGAGCATAACATCCAGGTGAAAGGAGTAGAGTGTCAGGCGCCAGCCTTCGTCCGAGTAGGCGGTAATGGACTGACAGCACAGACTGTGCCCGAAGCTGAAGAATATCATGTCCCGCGGATAGTACGTCGTGTTGCTGTTGAACACAATGCGTGTGATGAGCCAGCTGCCGCCCACTGGCAGGATCTCCATCATTAGGTAGCCCATGTGGGTGTTCATGACAACGACGAAGCCCTTCTTCACCGTCTGCACACCCACCAGACCCATCTGCAGGCTGTCGTTGCCCGTTCTCAGCCGGACGTAGGTGCGATTGTAGCGCACCTCGTGGCCCACCTTCATCTCCATGGCCTGGATGATCTTCTGCACGCCGACAATGGCCAGCTCGTGCCGCAGAATGGTGAGGTTCGTGGGATCGGCCCTCAGGCCAACATCCCCCGTAAAGATGACATTCGAGCCCTCCGTGTGGCTGTGCCGCTTGCCGGACATGCTGTAGAACCGACGACGCCTCAGAGCTCGGTATTCCTCCTCCAGGGCCGTGTAGATGTGGATGACGCGGCAGCCCTTGAGCACCTCCAGCACGGCGGCTATTGTGGCATCTGCGAAGCAATCAACCGGACATTATCAGCCATTAGCCGTCACCCACAACCCGTACGCACCATGAGCCGTCAGACTGCGATCCCCGAAGTTAAAGCCGTGTATCTGGCCGATCTCGCAGCGAATCTCCTGCCCCAAATCAATCTCTGAGCCATCCATGGGCAGCGTGTGCCACACCAGACCGGGACTAACCGCTCCGCGACTGATGTGGTCCAAGGCTCGCAGCGGCTTCTCCACCTGACTGTAGTACCGCACGGGCAGTATCTGGCTCATTTGCGGAAAGCACGAGGGGCAGTTGATATCCTTGGCAGTCAGCTGTGGGAATCAGTTGCAGACTTAGCCTTAAAATCTGTGCATTAATGTGAAGAGTTTTACCTCCGATGCCAAGTAGACAACAATCATGTATTCCCTTTGGATCGGCCTCAGCATCCTGACCAAGTCGAAGGTTTTCATGTATTGAAAGATGCTCTGTGGCTGGGGCCTGCACGGGGAGAGAGGAGTTTCCAGCAGCCATTCCAGTACGGCTGTGTGTTTGTGGAGCACTCACGTATCTATGCCCCATATCAGCATGGGCGGCGAACTGGGCGTATTGATGGCCCAGACGAACTTCATAATCAGCAGCAGACTCCACCAGGGATGCATTTTGATAGCTAAATTAAATTAAGTTCTTCAATTTCTAATGCAAAGAATTTCTTTTGGGGTATTGGGAAGCTATGTGCAAGGCCTGCTTGGTTTTCTTTCAAATAAAAATGAAGCATATCAACAAGAGTACTTTGGTTTCAGACATCATAGCTCAAATAAGAGCTTTTAACCTCTTCCAAACTACGGACTGCCATAGCTAGCGTAGTTCTCTATTTATGGGGCTATTTTTTGTTATTTCAGATAGGACTGACAGCATCACTAATACCAAATTGTTGCACGCCACTTTGCAAGCCACGTGGCAGCCCTTTTTGAGGCAGCCAATTCTATAACCAAAGTCTCGGGTCTTTGCCAGTATCGCTAGCCTATCTCAAGGGGCACATCACAGTAAATAAAGTGCCATAGAATTCGAAATGCTGCACAAAGCGGAGACACTACACTACACTACACAGCTCTTACTAGCAGTAGGAGAAAGAACTTCTACAAAGAAGAAACGAAACTCTTCCCAGGAGCATTTCCTAATTCTTCATAAGTCCCAAGAAATACCGGAATTCCATCCCAACAGCCACCCCCAATTGCTTAGCGACTTGTTGCTGCTGCAGCATGCTGCCCACGATCGTTCTTAATGCTGCTACAACATGTTGCCCACGATCGTTCTTAATGCTGCCTGCAGCATGTTGCCCACGATCGTTCTTGAGGCTGCTGCAACATGCTGCGCACGAGCCAAGCATGCGTAAGCGGCGGCAATAAAGTTGCTTGCCATTAAGCACAAAACTGAAACAAAAAAGCACCAAAATAAACTGTGATAAGATAACTGACTGTAACTGTAACTGTGGTCTTATCAATGGACGGACACAGGTAGAGAGGCTCTCCTCAGTTTGCTCGATTGCCGCTGTTCGAATAGACGTCGGTCTGTGTCTGGGTCCGTGTGCGGTGAAGATGCGATCGATTCATGGCCATTGAGGAAAGTTAATATCTAAAGAAATAAAACAAAAACAAACGAAATACAAAACGAAATCGAATAACAAAATGGCGCAAAATGTACGCAACTCCGATCTATCGCAGATAGCTGTGAATGCCAACAACATACCCGACGGTGCGTGTCCATAAAAAATACTTACTTAGTGACTCCGTGACTGCCTCGACATAATCCATATAAAATCCTCTCTTCCACTCTCTTGCAGACAGCGTCGATTGCGGCATCAAGGGTCTGGGCTGGTGTCGCGGCCCAGGCTGCCAGAAGTTTGCCCGCCTGCGCACCTTTGTCCTGGTGCTGGCCCTCACTGGCACGCTGCAGGGCGCCTGCGAATCCTACTTCCGTGTCTCAGCCAAACAGGCTGCATTCCAGTACGGCTACAGTGCCCTGCTAGTCGGTGAGTAAGCCACACCTCAATCGTGGCTATCGCAAAAACACAGCCACAGAAAATATTACGCGGCACAGCTCCAGGTGTACGGGTGTACGGGTGTACGGTACGGTACGGTAGTAATCGAGGTGTTGGCCTGGTTCTACGGGGCAGATTTTTGTGTGTGAGTTATCAGTTTTGCGATATTGTTGACGATTGCCAGTGTCTGTGGGAGGGGGCGGCTTCCCAGTGCTCTTCGGGGTGCAAGGGTATATTGTATTTTCCACGCGAAAGGTACGTCGGGTATTAAGAACAGTGACCAGCAGCTGCATAGCGCAGTCCGCACACGCACAGCATAAAAACTTCGTACGTCTTCGGCCTACTGGCTCGGCTGCCGCAGCGGCAGAGAAGCAAGAAACGTTTTGTGCCTTCGTGTCTGTTGTACAACATGTGAGTGTGTGCGTGCCAAGCGTTGATTTAGATGATTCATTTTGTTGGTTAAGTTATTCTTTGGTTGAACTGCAAGTTTCCCCCTTTATTGGGCATAATTTACTAAATATAATTGATCAGCGGGTATCAAATAGTACAGAGACAGCCCTAAAGTGTTATATTTTCCTTTGTGTTGCAAGATACTCGCACCTATTCGTCATCAGTGGCCATACGTAATCACAACAAAAGCCTCATCCGGTCTGCAAGAGACTGGCAAATGTTTCGATGGATTTACGGGGAATTTAACGAAAAGCATTCTACACAATTTAGGGAGCTCCTGAAACCTGCAATTGACCAAAATGTGTTCGCATTACTCATACGTCATATCTGGGCACTATCAATGGGGCGAGATAAGGATAAAGTGATATACGTGTATACTTGGCCGAATTCTGGGTTTTCCTGCCACTAAACTAAAGGTCTCTCTCTCACACTCGTGTGCTTTGGTATTTATAAAGGTTTTTCTCTACCCACAGATTGGCTACTGGTGACTAGCGGCCTGTGCCAGGCTGTGTTTGCCTTGGTGTTCGCCTTCTGGGCGGATGTCTTCCATCCCATCAAGTGGCTGGTGGGCACACTGATGCTGCAGTCCGTGACGTGTGTCATCGCCGTCATTCCATCCATAATGAACTTGTAAGTGGCATAAAGCATAAAATATCCCCTATCTCCTATCTGATACGCCCTTTCCTTCTAGTGCTGCTGGCACCAAGGCAAAGGATGCTCTCTTGGATGCCAATCTGTGTGCCACTTCGCTGGCTCAGTTCCAGAAGCTGACGCTAACGGAGGCGCAGAGCAGCACCGCCACGCTGGTGATGCTGTTCGTCCTGCAGCTGGCGCTGGGCATGGCCGGACTGGCCTACTACACCATCGGCGTCACCTACATCGACGACAACTCCCTGTCGCAGGACAGTCCGGCGGTGATTGCCGCCACGCTGGCGGCCCGCATCTTTGGCCAGCAGGCGGGCTCGTTTCTGGTCTTGAGCGTGGGCCTGACCCACGTCGGCTGGTGGCTGGGCTGGGTCATACTCGGGCCGCTGATCTTTGTGGGCGCGGTGCTGGTGGGACTGTTTCCCAAGCGACTGCCCAAGACGGTGATCCATCAGGCGGCCCAGCGGATCATCGAGCAGTCGAACATGCGCAGCTTCGGCAGCCAGTTCTCCACGTACCTGGACGACACGGACTTCTGGCCCTCGATGAAGCGGCTCTTCAACAATCGCCTGCTGATGGTCAATCTGGTCAGCATCATGTTCGTGCAGAGTGCCGTGGTGAACTTTGGCCTGCAGGAGGAGAGCTATCTGCAGAGTCGCTTCTTTCTGCCGTACAACGAACAGGACGGACTCACGCAGGAGTGGCGCTCCGCCTTCGTCGCGTACTTCCTGAAGCCCCCCGTTATGGCCGTGGGCATGCTGATTGGTGGCCTGGTCATTGCCAAGGCTCGGCTCTCGGCTCGCACCATCACCATGATCAACATCGGCATGGGCCTGCATCTGGTGGCCATCTTTGTGTACTTCGTGTTCCTCAAGTGCGACGTGGGCGCCATTGCGGGCGTGGTGGGTGGCAAGCTCAGTCAGCCCTACTGTTCCAGCCAGTGCCTGTGCACGCCCACCGCCTTCATGCCGGTGTGCCCGGAGAACAGCTCTGTGACCTACTTCTCGCCCTGCTACGCCGGCTGCACCAGGCAGAGCTCCATCAACAGTTTCCAGCTGTTCGAGGACTGCAGCTGCAGCGGAGATCAAACGCAGAACTCGTCGGGTCTGCTGCGTGCCACGGCCGGAGCCTGCAGCGGCGACGCCTGCCAGCAGACCATCATCCTGTTCCAGATCTTCAGCATTTCGGGCGCCTTCCTGCTGGGCATGATGACCATTGGCAAGACACTGATAACACTGCGCGCGGTCCTGCCGCAGGACAAGAGTTTGGCGCTGGCCTTCGAGCTGATGCTCGTCGGACTCTTTGCCTATGTACCCGTGCACCTCAGCTACGATCTGGTGACACGTAAGTACTGTCCGAGACTCATTCTGGCAGCAGCCTGCTCATGATTTTCCCGTTGCAGGCTCCACTTGCGTCTACTGGGCGCCCAACTACGAGCGCTGTCTGCTGCGCGAGACCCCGAAGCATGGCAACATCCTGGACATTCTCACGGCCAGCTTGATCCTCACCGGCGTGCTCTTTGACATACTGGTGTTCATCTTTGCCAAGGGCCTGAACCTCTACAATTGCAAGGTCACGGACAACAACTACACGCCGTCGCTGTACGCGCCCGTTCCGCACGAGGACACAACCGCCTCGGCGTCTGCACCAAGAGGTGGCAGCCCCCTGACCACGACGACCACATCCATGGCCTCAGCCTCGCCCATGCAGCGACGGGATGCTGCTGCTCCTGCTGCACACGAAGAGCCTCAACATGCGGTGGGCGTCTTTCGGAATCCCAGCTCGGTGACGACCTCCTCTGGCGAAGTGCAAAGCATTGTGGAGCCCAACGGCAGTGGTGTCACCTACGCCCAGGTGATCTTTCCCCCGGACAGACGCAAGGCCAACGATGGCAACACCTCGCCCAAGCGCCTGGCCGTCCCTGCCAATGTGCCAGTGCATCATCTCACCGAGACGGATGTGCGGGCACAGCTGGGCACCCTGAAATCCTTCAATGCCCCCAGCCAAGTGGCTGATCCGGGTCAAGATGTTGTGGACAAGCAGCCCCAGTCACAGTCACAGTCACAGCCACAGGTTCAGCCCTTGGAGGAGCCACATCAAAGTGTTCTTCCTGCTCTGCCGGCAACGGAACCACCGACAACTGCGCCTGCTCCACCGGAAACAGAGCCACCGACAACTCCGCCTGCTGTCACAAAAACGGAGATCAACACCCACAGGCAGCTGGACGAAGCCAGACCTCAAAGTCCCGAAACGGATTTCTGACGCGGTCCCACAAAAAGTATTCTAAATTTTTTTATATTATTTTCTTAGTCTAGATAAAACCTCCAATGTCCAGAAACGAATCATTTGAACAAATAAAGATATTCTTCATTTCATTCTAAATCGGAATTTGTTTGTACCCAGATATTGTGGGGTAGATAGGTGTTGAATAACACTGCGGCACAGTGCAGGAATCAAGGCACTCAAAGTAGTGTTTAAAAGCAACTTTGGTGGCGTGAAACTCAGCCGAAAAGTAGGCAACAATTTGTATGTTTATGTCAGAAAATGTATTAATTAATTTCATACAAATATTTCTTGCTTGGAAATGCTGCCTCAATCTGTATTGGCTACTAGAGATCCAGCAAATATCTAATAAAAATATATATTATAATAATAATAATATCCAATACAATAATTATAATTATTGTAGTGCAGGAGTAGAACCAAGTAAACCATCTATTCCATTCCTTACAAACCTCATACGGAGTCAGATATAGTATAGGAAAGGCAGTCGTCTTTAGTGGGTGCCAATCCCAATTCCACTGCATGTGGGTGGCGCTGAAGCAGATGCTCCCTCTACAGCTGTGTTCATTGTCGACGAAATTCCAACTTGCAGCGTCTCTTGGCGCAGGGAAAATTCCTAGAAGCATCCTCCAGAGGATTTCCAGATTCCATTAGACTTCTTTCCAAGTTCCAGACAACCTTTAAGCCACTGAATGCCCCTTTTGATATTCCATGGCAGCCAGCAGATGACACCCATCCAACATCCAGTACTAAGAGAAGAAAAGCGTTACACTCCTTTGTAGATCTTTTGGTTTTCAGTATAATTTTATTTTATTTTGTTTCCTTTATTTTAATTGTAGGTGTTTTTGCAGTTGATTTTGTATCGTTTTGTTTAATTTATTTGCAATTGTGGCTGCACTTACAAACTAATTAATAAATTAATAGTTAAGCTTAAAAAGAGACTTAAAATGTAGAAATCATAGGAGCAGAACTAGACATGAAATTGATAATTGAAAATACAAAAAAAATCATGGGATAAATACTTTCAACAGAATTACTATGTGGGAGGGGGGCGGGGCTTTGTTTGGATAGTTTGTGTATCCATGTATCCGCCTGGTAGAACGCTAGTTTTGAGCACTTCAATTGGAGTATTTTTTTGGTTTCACAACATTTCTTGTTTCACTTTCATTTTGGATGGTTTCTACTACCATTCTTTCTTTCTCTAGCTTTTCTTTTTTTTTTTGCTGTCCACGCAAACCTTAGACAAGTTGAGTCTCCGCAGGTTTGCATTGAGTGTGGGAGCTGGGGCAGGGCAGCCGACTGTTGTGCCATGCCCCAAATGAGTGAGTGCGTGCGTTCTGGCATTTCAAAACTTGGCTTCTACGGGGCGGATACGAACGGAACAGCCAGGCATTGTTTCCCTGGAAGCATTGCCTTTTATCTCTGTGCTGCAGCAAAAAAAAAAAATTCTTCATCTCTTTCGTCTTCTTGTCTGGGAGTGCGAAGGGGGAAACGAAAAACGAAATGTGGACAAAAAAAAATCCTATAACAGATTTTGTATAAACATCGAGGGCGAGGGCATTTTGAAATGAAGATTAATGCAAAACTAACAACTAAATAATTACAACAAAAATAGGACGACCTTTTCACTTTCTGCTTAAAATTTAAATTTTCTCATTTTGTTTTGTTGGTTTTTGCGGGTTTTTTGTTTTCCTTGTTTTTTCTTTGCATTGTATCCTCATTATCCTCTTTCTCACTTTAGAAGTTTTCTTAGTTTTGTTTCGTTTTCGTTTTGTTCTCAATTTTAGTTAAGTTTTACACAATATTTACAGTTATTGATTGATTGATTAAGAGTTTTAACAAACGATTGTGATAAGCTTTCGTGTTTGTTTTGGCTTGCGAATAGTTTTACAATTTGTTTAAAAATATATCTTGAAAATATTCTAAAACTACGACAATTTTCTACGTGTGTTTTTTCCTTTGTTTTGTTGTTTAATTTGAAACATGCATAATTATGATTTAGTTAATATTTGTTGTGTAGTTTTTGCGTTTGCTTTGTTGTTGTTTGTTTGTTTTTGTTGTTTTGTTTTTATACAATAAAAGTAAGTTTTGAAATATAAATTATAAAAATAGCAGCTGGTTTTTTTTTTTTTGTTGTATCATGTTTAAATATTGTGTGGAAATTTGAATTTTACTTTCTCGCTTCTCTTTCGCATTTTTCGCTTTTTTACAATTTACATCTTATGTCTCTGACTGCACAATGCAAATTATCACATATTTTTCTTTACATTTCCTTTCATTATCCTTCACTCTTCACTATCATTCTTCATTTCCCAAGCACTCCTCCTCTCTTATACAGTTTATTGATTTGCGTGTTGTTTTTACTGTGGCTGCTGTTTTTTGTTTTTAGTTTTGTTTTGTTTTTTGGCTAAAATTCTACTTTCTGCAAGTATTATTTTGGGGCCAGTACATAGTATACAGTATACATCTACATGGTATTTTATATGGGGGTATTTTTTTTCACGTTTTATTTGTAGCGTTAATAACATGGAAACAAAACGGTAAACAAGGATAAAAGATAATCAAACAAAGAATGGTGGACAAAAATCATGTCTACGCGCAGCAGCGCCCTCTTTAAAAACTAACTGTAATTCTTCTTCTTCTTCTTGTTCTGCTAAGCTTAACAGCAAACGTTAACAGCACGCAGCCGCAACCAGCCGCTAACGTGCAGTCTATGTGTGTTTGGGTGTGTGTGTGTGTGTGTGTTGGTCTGTATGTGTATGAATTGCTTAAATGTGTGTGTGTTGGTGTGTGTGTGTGGTGTGGTGGTGTGTTAAACAAATATCACAATCGAGGAATTAACAAAACAGCGGCTGCGCAGCGTTACAGTGAACAGCCCAGCAACAACAGGAATTATCCGTACAACATTCGCTGTTAACTAATACTTTCATTTTGCAGACTGTTAAATGGTTTGCTATGCGGTTGCTATTGCTGTTATTGTTGCTGTCCTGCTGTCTGCTCTGCTCTGCTATGCGCTTCGCTCTCTCCCTCTTGCTCGGTCCGTGTGTGCCGCAGGCTGCGGCGACGCTGGCATTCGAAAGAGACAAAGTTGAGCTTACATTAACGGTTATTCTTCCCACATTCCAGTGGCCGGGTCTGTGAACGCCACGGCCATGTTACGTTCCAGGATAGAAAAACTAACACTAACATCAACAGCCTAGGACATGGGGCCGTTCGTGTTCACTGGCGTCGCTGTCTGAACAGACGCCGCCGCCGCCGCTGCCGCTGCTGCTGACTGTGCCTGCTGCTCCACCGCTGCCACTGCATCGACAATGACGCTGCCATTCTCAGCGCTGCCATTGGGAATGGTTGTGGGGGCCGCTGCCGTTGCGGGACTGGTAGCCGCTCCCACCGTTGCCACCGCTACCTGACCGGCGCCAGCTGCGACTGCAGCCACTGCCACTGCCGCTGTCGCCACGGGTGGAGCCTGGATGGCCGGTGTGGCCGGTGGAGCGCCCACTGCCGCCGGCTGCTGGGTGCCGGCGATCTGCAACTGCATCTGCAGCTGCTGCAGCGTCTCCTGCGGTATGTTGGACTTGAGAATGTTGTTCTCCAGCTCCAGCTTATTGATCTTGTCCATTAGCTCGGAGATGCGTTCCTTCAGGACCTCAACCTCCTCGCGCACGGCGATCATGAGATGCGATTTGACCAGATCCTGGAAAAGTACAAGAAAAAAAAAGTCTTGATTAGCGTTTTGTTTGGTATGATGATATCTCCTGTTATATAGTTTACGTATTGCAAGCAGCTGCACATGGCGTGCCCTTAGGTTAGCTTTATCTCTAACTTCGGTACTGATAGGGTTTACTGTCTATACTATATGACGCATAGAAGGAATATTTACCTAATAGATTACAGTAAGATAGGGGCCCAGACACTCTTCTATTTGTACAGCAACTGAGATTCTGACTCATTTCAGTCGGCTGTTACTTAACATAACTGCTGCTCTACTGCTACTGTTAGAGTAACAGCAACAGTATCAGTGTTGCGGATTTCTGCCAGCTTTCTGTTATTTAACATTTAGTCTGCATTTCAACCCTTTTTCATTCTGTTTTGTGGCCCCCCATTCATAAATCGCTTTTCTCTCTTCTGTTGCCAAGCAATGTTTGCTCAATGTGGCGTGTTTCCTTTCCTCTTGCGGGTATTTTGTTTGCTGTGTAAATGCAAATGCTTCCCCCCACCCACAAAAAGAATCAAATATGTTCTCGGTCGTGTCATTGTCAATGCCAGGCAGCGGAACACGTCACCAAAAACCCAGACCCTGACCACAACATCACATAGCTGGCACATAGCAGCACAGCACACCTGAGCAGCACGCCCTCGCCTGACTACACCTAGTGAAAATTTAATAAACCTATTAAAGAGTAGCCACAAGCCAAAAGGCAAACAAACGCGTGCAAGCAGGCCAAATCACATTTTCTAGAATAATCGCACAAGGCAGAGAGGGAGAGAGAGGCAGAGAGCCTGTGTCTGTGGTGCATTCGTACTCTCAGTCTCACAGCTATGTAGAGCTATGGGTGCTATGCAGGCGCATTTAGGGGCACGTGTTCAGGTGAGTACCTTTTTTTTTTTTCTTGTATGGGAAATGTCTATAGGCTTGTGGGAGAGAGCCTCCTCTTAGCCTCAGTCGATGACATTTCTCTAGTTCCGTTTCATGAAAGAGTTTTCTTTCCATCTCTCTTTGGCTCCCACTACCACCATTCCACCAGGCCACCATGCAACAGCAAGCAATCTCTATAAATAGTCAGCCTCTGGCTCTGCCCGCTTGGATGCTTTCGTCGTCGTCTTCACTTTCAACAATTTCTTTCGACATTTTCTGTGCTTGTTGTTGTGGCCTGATTTCTGTCGAACGAACAAAATAAAAGTGCCTGTGCGTTGTCGGTCGTCAACCATATAAAAATCACAAAGAAAGAAGCAATCAACCAAAAGGATAAGGCTATATAATCAGCTCATAAGTACGACAGGCCAACGAAAATAAAAGCCCAAGAAATACGGCACGGCACGTCATTATGAAAAATATTTAACAGATCCATAAAAGGAGACACTGAAAGCCGAAGCTGGAGATTCCCTATAAAAAGCTAAAGCTCTTGCTTTCTATAGTAAAAACCCATCGGAAGGGTATGCCAAGCGAAAAGTCCATTAATTGAAAAACTGTGAACTGGGCGGGCGCGCGTTTGTTTCCTACGCGTTTCGCATGCAGCTCTCATTAGTCATACCTTCCTCACATTCTATACGATATACGATAATATATACCACCCCGAATAGGGTTGGGAAGGCAGGTGGGGCAGCACAGCAGCACCACCACCATGAGCATGAGGCATGGAAAGCCGTCGCATGTTCTCGGGGCATGGCTTTTGCCTTGGCACCAGTGCCAAAAAAAATAATATAATAAAACAAAATATACCAATGAGAAATTATACGAGTATGCCTCTGCACGTTTTTTCCTCTGCTAATAAATAATTTTTATAAAAATATCCACTTTTATTTTTAGATCCGTGTACACTCATTAATAAAAAATACAACAAAAAAAAAACGGCATTACCAAAATTAGAAGTAAGCGAGCGACAACCAAAAAAATTTGATAAAAGTTGAGGGGGCATAATCGGTGCAAATCACAAAAAACAATAAATAGCAAGCAAACCGCATTAAACAAACGCAAACCGGTTAATACTGCTTTGGTTCTGCTCGGTTTTCTGTTAACAATGAGGTGCAAAAAAGCAGCAGAAAAACAGAAAGGTAAAAAACCAAAAAAATAATACATGGCATATATGGCAAACAGACCTACATATGTACAGTATTATGTATATCGTTAATTTGTGGCTTCAGTCGGCAGTCCCAGACAGCGCAGGTGTGTCTCTGGTTGTCTGGTTTTCTGTTTTATCATTTTATGTCTAGATCTTTTGTTTTGCTGTTGTATAATTTATATGATTTATGGCTTGATTTTTGCTCTTCTTGTTTTATTTTTTTTTATAAATATATTGTTTTATTGATGAGATTAAAGTCTAGTTTCCATCTGTTCCCCAGCCATACCTTGGCATCTTTTATCAATTTACTTTGCACAATTTATGGCCCTTCTATTCTTTCAATTTCTTATCAGTTTTCGCTCAGACAATCCCCCCAAGATAAGCCCCAGAGAGTTGCGCTGAATTTGTTGACAGAGATAAAATTAACCGCCGGACAGGTAACGAACGGAGGTAGAACAGCACTTGAGAAGTAATCTCTCTGTCTCTCTCTCTCTGTCTGAAGCAATGCTAATTATACACACACGTGCACGCATACATGAAGTGCACTCCTCTACTCATACCCATGCAGAAGTGTCTGTACACACTGGAGAACCGGGTTGGGTTCGGTCTTGGGGTCAGGTCACGCGCTTCTCCCTCCCTCCACTACACTCCACTCCACTCCACTGTCTCTTGTGGGTATCTCTTCTCTCAAAATCTCATTCAGTTCTCAGTTTTCTTTCTCGTTTTGAATGTTTTTTTTTTCGGTTGCATTTTTCTCAAACAAACATGGCGGCAGAGCCAGAGAGACCCTGAGTCTGTGGTTTTTTCTTTTTTCGGTTTTTTTGGTTTTTTTATGGTGTACACTTGTCGGGGGTCCTTGTTTAGGTAGAGGAACCGAACCGAGCCGAAACGAAGCGGAACGAACCCCCTGTGATGCCTTCTTTTGTCATCAAGAACAAAGGATTTGGAAATTGATGAAATTATTGAAATTCACTTCAAATCTCATTCTGTTCTTTTTTTGCACATTAGCTAAAGTAATTTTCTGACAAGTGACGGAGGGGGACATTTTTTCACATCTCTTTAGATTTCACAATTTTTTTTTTTTGACATTGAAATATTGCCAGAAAAATGCCACACAGCCGCAGCCGCAGCCTCAGTCAGCCCAAAATGGATGCGGGTATAAAAAATCAATAAAATTGCATCTCCGTCTCAGTTGGGGAGAACAGGTAAAGAGACCAGAGGGGTGTTCGTAAGGGTGGGTGGGGACGGGAGATGGGGTATGTGTGCTGTCTCTAGATATACATACTTTTGCATTGGGAACCATCACATAGCAGGGGCTGTCGTAGCCCTGCTGCCAGATCTCATAGAGCCAGTTCTCGGGCTGACGCAGCGACATTGTGCCCATCATAATTTTGGCTTTTGGTCTGGTCTTTATAGATTTTCTTTTGGTTTATTGAAAGTGGAGATTTTTCTCCCTGCACTTGCACTGGCACAAAATTTCAGTATTCAGTTTTCAGTTTTCAGTTTTTTCTTTGGATCACAGTTAAGAGTGGTTGTATGTATTTTCTGATATTTTCAGCACTTCACTTTTAAGTAATCTTCTTGTTTCTTTTCGGCTCTCCTTTTATTTTTGGCTTGTTTGTATGGCAAAAGTTTAGCAATAACTGAATCGGCTGCTTAGCTTTTCAGACTGATTTACGAGACCGGCGCAGAGCTTTTTTTTTTTTTGGATATGTCGTGCGAGAGCAGAGCTTTTGTTTCAATTGGCTTTTGTTGTTGCGTAGTTGTGTGTGTGTGTGTTGGAATTAATATAATTCACAAGTCTCTTGTTTGGCTTTGATTTAAAACAAAAATATTATATATTTCTGTTACATATATAGATTGTGTTCAAGCAATATATATTTAATTATTTCCTTTTGGAATTTGGTTAGCGATGTGGCGTGTAGCGAGGTTTTTCGGCGACTCCCAGTCTACTCGCATGTAGCGGAGACTTTATATAAAATGGCCCAGCGCCGCAGCAAGAGAGCACGCATGCGCAACGAGAGCGGGAGAGAGTGCTCTCTCACACAAAAACTCTCCTCCCTCTCTCTCGCTCTCTCTCTTTTTGGCTGGACTGCTCTGTGTATCTGTCATGCACAGGGCACAGCTGTGTCTGTGCGTGTATGTATCTGCCGTTCGTTGTGGCATGCCGTGCCGTATGCCGTTCGTATCCATAAGCATTTTTTGCCTTCGGTTCGGTTCGACTCTCTGTTTGTTTTGACGCGCGACTCCAACTCGAGTCGACGCTTGTGCCCGTGTTTTCCCATCAATTTACACGGACTTCTTCCACTACATATACCCTCCCTCCCCCCGGCATGCTACCATATCCACCAATATATATATTTGATCACCTTTGTATTTGCCAAAATGTTTGACTGAATTTTTGGACAGGCCCAAAACAGCAGCCGGTTTTTGTGTTATTTAAAACAAAAATAAAAATCTTTATGTACGTGAAATGTTTTTTTTTTTTCTTCTTTTCTCTGACTTTTATTATTTTGAAGCTGCGACGCAAAAACTTTACGACACTTTTGTTTATCACTCGCTCCGCTCACTCACTCACTCACTCACTCATTCACTCATTCGCACACTCTCTCGCTCTTTTATTTTGCTGTTTTTGGGGTAGGGGCTGACTGGCTGGCTGGCTGGCGCTGCTGGCGTTCTTATAGATACTTTACCGCTTGCCACGCGGTGGTTTTCGATTTCTGTGTGTTCTCTGGGGAAAGGGTGAGTTTTGCTCACCTTTTGCGCATTGCCTTGCGGTCCAAGTCGGAGTAAACAACAAAACAATAGTCTTGTTGGCGGGGGGGAAATGTGGAAAATTTTTGCAACTCCAAAATGGTTGTATGTATGAGTTTCAATTGTTTCCGCTTTTGCCATTGACAAAATATACAAATTC